CGGCACTCTGCGGCACCTCTCCGGCACTCTCCGGCACTCTGCGGCACTTTTCCGGCACTCTGCCGCTCTCTCCGGCACTCTGCGGCACTCTCCGGCACTATTCGGCACTCTCCGACAACTCTCCGGGACTCTCCGGCTCTCTCCGGCACTCTGCGGCACCTCTCCGGCACTCTCCGGCACTCTGCGGCAACTCTCCGGCACTCTCCAGCACTCTTCGGCATCTCTCCGGCACTCTCCGTCACTCTACTGCACTTAACAACACGCAACAGCACTGTACGGCCTTCGATATGGCTCGAAAACATTTGAAAAACGCGCGAAAACTATCGTTAACGCTCGACAACGCTCGAAAAACGCTCGAGAACTCTCGAAAACGGTTGAAAAACGCTCGGTAACGCTCGAAAAGCCCTCGATAACGGTCGATTACACTCGAAAACGTTCGAAGACGTTAAAAAACGCTCTAGAAACGCCTAGAAACGCTCGATAACGCTAGTAGGGAAATGTAAAAATCATGCGCGAAATGACTCGGCTTATATCCGCAGTTAAGTAATCCTCGGGAGGATTTTTCGCAGGGTCGAGTCTCACGCATACTTGTCGAGTGTAGCGCCGAATGCACACATACTCAACGTCTCGACCCGTAGCTTGACGCTTGGCTGGTTGGGACGCGCTAAGATTTCTAAGAGCGGTCGCACTCACACATATTCGCTGTATGAGGGTTCCGTACGCGGCACCGACGCGTGCCCCAAAGCTCCGCATCACGTCGACTTCGAGGCAACAATGTACATAATAGTAGTAGATAAGTAGATAAAGTCAAATGGAGCGTCACGAGTGTTCTTCCCTTACCATCAAAAGCGAGCAGTTTCGGTAAGCGTAGGTAAGCCACCACTGTCAACTGCCGCATGGTATTACCATCTCTGATAAAACCAGAGATGAGGTGGGAGATTGCTCACGGGCAGAATCCCACGATCGTGGTCTGTGCTGCTTTTGGTGGAAAATGCAGACGGCTTATGCACTTTCCTCCAATGACGGCTCAACAATTCTGTTCCCAACTTATCTGTGAGTTGAGCTCTCCATTGGTGGTAAATACGCGACCGCTGACATTTTCCACGGAGGGCACAAAATTTCAAGAATTTAGATCTCTGGAGGTCCATGGAAGACATGCAGTGCTTGTAAAGTTCAATGACAATTGCTCGTATATTTGGTACATAATGCATTAAATATAAAATATTAGAAAGAAGCTAAATCTTATTATAAATTGTAAAAATACATGCTCTCAATTGCTAGGTTTATCCTTATTTTCTAATATCCAATAATGTTTCTTAACAGCTGCTAGAGATATCCGTTCACTGCTTTTCCGTTGTACTAACTGTAACATTGTACAATTATAATAATAGCTCGATGACCTGTACAGTAAAATCGAAAAAGTTGTAAGAGATAATATTACCCGTGAAATTAAATTTTTAGCTCCTGGAGAAATGAGCTCTGGCCATGGAATGCATGATACTTTAATTTTTGCATATGTTTCTTGCTGCGAGTTACTGAGAAACGGTGGTTGACCAACAAGAAACTCATAACAAAGGATACCCAGACACCAATGGTCGACATGAAAGTCATATGTTTGCCCGGTTATCATTTCTGGTGGCAGGTAATCCAGTGTTCCACATAATGTGCCACGCCTGTAACATTAAATTATATCATTTAAAACTCAAACTAAGAGTTAATTGATGACAAAATATATTTAAGTATATTTGCAACCATGAAAGGGTATATTTACTTTGAAGATGGAGCGTGGACAGACCATCCGAAGTCGGCCAACTTTACATTGCCGTCATACGTCAACAATAAATTTTCAGGTTTAATATCTCTATGTATCACATTCATTCGGTGGCAGTACTCCAGTGCATCTGCCACTTGATACGTATACTTAGCAGCTCTATAAGTACAAGAATGTGATAAAAAACAATGATTAAGAGATCGACATCAAAATTAGGCATACCTGGGTTCACTGAATCTTCCTTCAGGTTGCCTCTTCATTTCTCTAAATAGTTCTCCTTTCGCAGCAAACTCCAAAACCAAGTAAATCCTTTTTTCATCGTGGAAGTAAGTAAATAACTGTATGATGTTAGGATGTCTGAAACATTGATGACAGCAAACACTTACAAAGAATCTTTTAATACTAAAAAGCAGTTAATCACTGTGTACCAATCGTCCTTCAAAATTGAATACCTTAAACGTGTCTGTATTTCTATTTCACGCATAACTTGTTTTTCAACACGACCTTTGTGCAATTCTAATTTATACAATGTTTTCAAAGCAACCATATAGTGGGTTTTAACTTCTCTCGCAAGATATACTCGCCCAAATTTTCCTCGTCCCAATGGAGCTCCGATTTCAAAATCATTTAATGACCACTGGTAGCTGAAAAAAATTACAGCTTAATTAAACAGTCATATAAAATGTGACACAGCCATTGAAATGATTTAATAAAATGCTACTTTTCTCCATGTGTCTCTACGTGGTCCTCCATAATAGAAAGCATGTTTTGTAAATCTTCTTGATGCTCCTCAGGAACATTTTTAGGTAATTGAAATGCTCCGCTCGCAGCCATCCCAGATGAGAATTGTTAATTTCGCCTAACTTTTATTTACTTTCCGTTAAACCTCGTTCCTCCCGACCTTTCTCATCCCAATCTCGACCTTTCCAAACATTTCCAAAATAATTCAAATCAACGGTTTGCGGGAAAATCAAAAGTCATAGATCAGAGGCCGGTGTGGGCGATCACGATCTGTCACGTCGAACAGCGTCATCTGATATCCCAACACGGCGGCTTATACATTTTTATTCGTGCCAGTATCTGGTTATATTCGAGGGGAAGTTCGAATTACCTAAAGAACGTTCGAAAAAAACGACTGACCTGTCGTTTTAATACTTGCCATGTCCAACAGGCGTAAATGCGCGATTCATTTTTATATTATGGATTACTTCTCATCGACTGAAGTTTTCAAATGTCCCGCGAAAAAATGGCGGACGTTCGATTCACTCATGACGAACCAATTCGATACTTGCGCAGAAACTGTGCTAACCTCTTTTGCTATAGACCTTGGCATGAACTGTGATGAACTCACCTCGTCTCTCGTCTTGATCGGGTGTACAATGTAGTGATTGTCATTTATGTGGTTTTAATGTAGAAAGTGATATTTATTCGTCAGTGGCGTCCAGTGGCGTGTCGGTAAGAATTATGCGAAATACTGACTGAAAATGGATCTGTATACTTCTTTGATTTTCTAATGCTAAAGTGCGGTACCGCATCGCTCTCAAGGCAGGTTCATGCTACCGCTATATTTAATTACTGTTCATGAATACCAATAATCCGCCTTCGTGGCCGGAATAATCTCTGCAGTTAATTGGGAAAGCGTTATTCACTACCGAAGTCTTCTCCGGCCACATCGGTGTGCGATATGGCCGAGAACACGGAGCTGCAAATAGATATAGACTCTGCCTTTGAGAAATCAATAATCATTGGAAGGGCAACTATACCTTGCATTTGGCGTGACAATTATGGATTCAAGATCAAGCTGAACAATTATCAGCGTTTGTATGTTTCCTCACATTGTTTCGACCTTTGATTTTCTATTTTAAGTTCTCCAAAATATGGTAGCGCTTCGGACGTGAGCGAATTCCAAAAAGGTGGTGCAAGGCGTGGGTGTTTCATGGACAGTTGATAACGACTCCAATAAGTTGTAATATTTTAAGAGTATTAAAATATATTCTTGTGTCCGACTTGTTGTTACAGTAACAGTTTGCAGTAATAAGTCGAAATGATGTCCGATCGCAAAGCAGAGTTAGAGAGGAAGAAGGCGAAACTCCAAGCTATCAGGGAAGAAAAAGAGAGGAGAAGAAGGGAGAAAGAACAGAAAGATGTAAGGATTCCTTTGGTTTATTTTATTTTATTTTATACCAGTGGTATATATTTAAAAGTATTTTTTCGTTAGGTCGAAGAAGCAACGGTTCGTGCAGCAGGGGCTGATAAGGACCATAGAAAAGAACTCGATGCTATGCTTTCTTCCCTTGGGGTGGCTCCAGTTTCAGGTATTTCAGATTGCTCAGAATTTTTACATTGGTGCAGGATCTTTTATGTGATCGAAAAAATAATACGATCTAATATGTTACAGATGTTCTGTCCAGCCTTTCGAGTATGAACTCTCTGACACCGGAACAGAGTGCCAATGCAACTCCAGATGCTAGTTTGCAGCCGTCTAGTATAAATTCTTCTCAGAGGTAAATATTATAAAGAGTAATATAGACGATACTTCTGCTCAGCTTCTTTAACTATTTTCTTTGACTTCAATCAAATTTTATGAAACAGTGGCACGGGGCGCAGAAAGTCTCCACGTGAACTCACCGTGGTTTCTGTGGCACATACGAATATTTTACCAAAGGAGCCCGTTCTATACAGCAAGTCGACGCAAACTATTCAGACAACACACATTTCTAACGACGGTGAGTTTTATTTCTGCTGACTTGCGTACATAATTGAAAAAAAAATGCATAATCCATTATGTTCAAATAAGTCTTTTTTTTTTTATAACTTGATAAGTCGATTTTTGTCAATATTCTTTGTTTAAATACGGCAGCTAAGAATTCAAAGAGTCTGCTTTACAAATAGGTGGCAAATGAAAAATATTCCATGCTGAGAATTATGTATATATTTTGTTTAACCATTCTAATAACTCAATGGGTCTCATTTTTAACAAAAACGTGTATTAACTTTGCTCTTCAATGTCAACAGTGATAAAGTGCACCCTTTGATTAATCTGTGACGACTGTCTGTCGGTGTAATTTTAGTTTTAATCATTTTGATTCGTTACTTTTCACCTCTGCGACCTTATTTAATACGATTAATTTTATTTGTTGAGGAAACTTACATATTCACACAACATACTTTTTTAAAATGGTGAATGAGACAGTTGGTTTTGTGTTACTGACTCTATTGCCATACGTTTCTTCATTCTAACTTATTATTTTGTTTATTAATCTTTTTCCAATATTCTTTACAAACACGAGACAGAGATTCTCATACAATTCGATAATCTCTTTATGCACAGTTATAGTACAAACAATACCTCGAGCACATATGAGAAGTGAAAATGCTGCAATATTGCAAATATGATATCGTTTATTAACTCTCATCGTGTTAACGCATGAGTTTCTTTTTGGTGCATCGGCGATTGTGTTAGATCCTTCCATAGTTGACAGTTGCATAATTCATTTAACACTGGGTTAAGCTTCCAGGATAAGAATTCACGGTAGTATTCTACACTTCCAATTAACACAGTCATCAAGCTTACAAGTTCATATTGTACAGTTTATACCTTACTTGTACAGTTTTGAATCTAACAAACCTGATTTAGTTACACTATTTAGCATGGGTTTTGCATTCCCTAAAAGTAATTAAAAGCCATTTATCAGACATCGAGATCTCCCATTTTCCATTCATTCGGATGCCAATGTTCTTTTCAAAATTCCATATCTCTTTTAAGACGCAGTCCAATGACAATTTAATGCAGCAAACAATTGTGACCTGTCGATCACATGTCAATCGAAATTAAATCGCATGTTGGATTCTGTGCAGTACAGAATTCCTGTGGATGGTGTTTGGTTTTCTGTCCGTCTCATTGTCAACTTAAGTACATTCAACCGCAAGTTCAGTTAGTGGCCGCTATATTATTATTATTATTACTCTTATTTAAACTCTTCCCCAAAGACAGCTTTATAATTGTTTAAAGAAGGAGAATATTGAGGATATCCTTTAAGTTCTGCTTTGTTTAATTAATTTCATCGAACAGTCTTATCGTTGGGGTACGGAGGAAGTGCACGATGCATTACCTTGTCTTTCTGTCTGACCTAACTGACCTTGCGGAATCAATTAAATGGTGCGAACACATTGGTCCCTTGGCATTTGGTGTCGGACGCAAGGACTATCCACCTCCTCCTCTGCGTACACCATCTACTCTTCCTGTTCGACAACGACACCAACTCACTCTTGCTCCGCAGGCTACTTTGAGACCGACTGGTGGCGTCCCAGGAAAGGTGGGTCTGCACCAAGCTACCTATGTATGTTTCTGTCTATCTTTTTTATTAAAACTTCCGTAACCGTTTGATAATTGTATCATAGAGGTAGTAGATATGTCACTGTGTCCGTTGGAATTTAGGGGGACGTAGAGTTCAGCCTGTCGCTGTGACCTTGAACTTCCTACTTTTTTTTCTCTCTCTTTCTCTCTTTCTCGCTAACCATTGTTCCCTCGCTAATCCAGAGACCGAAGTCACCAAGGAATCACGACAGAGAGTCTAATGAATTGTCTAGGATGGAATTCTGAGTCTATTCCCCTTAAATATGCCACCTCGATGCCGCACGTGGGGATCAGCTGATTGTCCAAGTAACTGCGGTACCGAAAATCTAAAGGAAAAGAAATGGTAGGAAATGTCACCTACATTATCATTCACGTAGAGAACTAAAATGTCCACGGGAGATTTTTCAGCTGATCAACCATGGTGCGGCCTCGATATTCTCATGCACACAAGGGGCAGCTTTTTCAACCGCTTCCGATTAGCTTAGAGCAAGGGTTGATAAGTACTAACCGCTAACTGCCATGTGATAAGGGTCGAAACCCCCTTGAGGAGAAAAGGAACGCACCTGATGTCCTGTTAATCGAAGACACTCTTCTTCTTCTTTTTTCATTGTTTTTTTTTTTTCTTTTCCTTCAATACCAAGAAAAAATGGAGGGAAAATCAGTAAAATTTTTGCTCTCGAATTAATTCCCCCTTATTATCACTTGCGGAGATGCTCCGGGGGGTGGGAGTAAGTGTGACAAGCAGTGCTGGGCAAAGTACCACTGCAAGTGCCTGATAAGTTAGATTAAGTCGTTGGAAAAGCGATCTCAGGTGTGGAGGTATTGTTGGGACGATTAAATCGTTTGGAGGTTTTTTTTTCTTTCTTTCTTTATAGATCCTTTTATTTAATATTGCTTGAGACGATGCCCAGCACTGGCGATAAGGCATGCGAGTGAGATATCTGCGCTCCGCTTTCTAACCGATCGTTGACGCGTCGTATATGGCGAAGAAAATCTTCCTTCGCGAAGAGATGGATGAAAAGTGCCGATTTACAGGCTCGCGCGTTGATTGCAGGATTTGGTAGATCAGCTGGCAGAACTCTGACCTGGCGGTCTCTCTCAGAAATCCAGAGTAGCCTTTGCTTCCGTAGGAAGTAATACCTTGAATATGTACGTTTCCTCTTACACGGGGCTGCTCTAACTGCCGACCTGCGAGTTCATTAGAGTGTCCTAATTATTAATTTCAATGATACAATGACTCGCACATCGTCCAGAACAGTTGGAGAGAGCCCTCTTCGAACACTTCGGCACTGTCGCACCAGCACACGATATTACAATTTTCGAGAGCACGTGCCTAACTACACTCAGGCGTACTCGTTGCACCTGTTCGTTAATTTTTTTTTATTTCTGTTCCTCTTCTCTTCATATATATATATTTTTTTTCGTTTCAATCCCCGACGATAATAATAATAATAATAATAATAATAATAATTTCGGAAAATCCCTCGAGCGAGGAGACGGTGAAAAATTCGACGGATTTTTCAGCGAGTTATATTTTTCTTTTTGGAGTTTTTCTTTCTTTTTTGTTTAATTCGTTAGTTTCGGTAATTGCTTTTTTTATCACCCCGTACTCTGAGTGTAGGGAGGCGCCTCTTAGCTTAGCGTATTTATGTGATACTCTAACTAAGTACAATTTTTTCCCTCCTTCCCTCAGCTCATACGTTCGACTATTACGGTAAGTTATGATTTCTCTTGATTTCGAGTGACTCTTAGCCAGACTCGGCGCGATCGGGACGACGTAGGGCGTCCTCGAGTTTCCGCGTATTTCAAATTAATTAATTCTCGCGGATCTCCCCTCGCGATGGGTTTGGGAAGTTCACCTTGGGAGTTATCCCTTAGAAATTCGAGGACAGGGCGGGGTTTTCGATTTTGGGAAGTGCCTTGAAACGAGGGAGAATATGAAACGGGGGGTCGATTCGCGCGTCGCGTCGCGCGGTTCGAATGTTTCGCCGGCGGGAGATTTGAATTCCCTGGGATTTGGATTGTCTTTCCTTTGTCGCGGGGATGGTGACCGACCCCTTAGAAATTCGATCTCGAAACGAAAATCTAGGGTCCTAGAGACGAACTATGGTAGATCTTAGACCTTTAGATTAACTTTTATCAGGTGCACGAGGAGGAAGGATAGGGCAACGCGAGAGAAAAGGAAAAGGTCGACGGCAATCTGGAAAGGCAGACTCTCTACCCGTTTTTCTTTTTTTCCGAAATGTACTTCCCCCCCCCCAATCTCCCCCTCCTCTCTTGGTTGCTTTTGTTCTCCTTGCTCCATTTTGCTCTGTTCTAGAGCCCGAGTCGATTGGGCCGTCTCTTTGTCCTGGTTTTTCCTTTACTCCCGGTTCTGTCGCGTCGGTTTTCTACTTTTCCGCCTTTGGCCCTCGATTAGGACTTTCCGTAGGACCTCGAGAATTTTTTTAAAATGTCGAGGGAACTTTCCCAATACATATCTATCCGGCTCCTATGTTTATGCCGATGTTGGGAAGAAATTGACATGTCCAAAATTCGAGTCCATCCGAAAGATTTATTCCTATCTGACATCCTGACTGTTAAGAGAGTCGTTTAATCGGTGATACGCGTGATTATGATTTGCGCTTTCGATTAAGTACGATCGTCAACAGGATGGAGAAATGAAACTATAATCTGTCTTACTGATAGGCGGTCAATTTACACGTCGGTGGAATTATTACAATTTGCATGGACATTACGACACGAGGTGCTACATGAAACCCAGGCCATTGTTTATAACAATATAAATGGACGCGAGACGATTGACCTCCTCAACCTTCGTCATTTTGTTCAGAGTTTCTTTTCGCCGTTGTGCATTGTCAATCTTTTACGTTTTTCTTTCTTTTTTTTTTCTTATCAATTGTTGCCTTTTGTTCCTTACGTGGCGCTTCAATTTCGCCTTAATCGCGACTCCGTCCATTTATATCCACTTTCTATTTGATCGCTCGAATTGTTTATTAACTAGGACACTTTATCCGTCTCCTGGGCAGTTCTTTCTTGTTTTTTATTTTTTTTTTTTTTCGGATTAGGAAAAGGGCGAGTATCCATTGCCGAATCTTGTCACAACTTAACGCACCTTCCAGAGTTCTCAACGTGGTGTTGAAGTCGGTTCTCGCAACAGATGAAATCTGGAATGTCCCGAATTCTGCGATAATTACAATCCGTTCCTCTTTACCCCTTTTTTTTCTCGATGTGATTGGTTCATTTGGATTTCTGCCTTGGTTCACCGTGTCATTCTTTCCGGAGTTTATTGCTTATCGCGCCGCTTCAGGGCATTCCAAATTTCAGGGCTGCTGTTCTATTTCTCTCTCTTTTTTTTTTCTTTTTTTTTCCCCGACAGTCGGAACGAACCCAAAGTGGAAGCAAACTCTGTAACCGCACTCTCCTCTGTTTTGCAAACTGTTATGTGTTTAACAAGGGGAATCAAAACGCAGAAAGAAAGGGTCGACCGAACGCCGAATTGGCGTAACAATTTTCGTTCTCATTTTTTACGGCCAGGGGGGAGATTTTATCGGTTTTCGGGGGATGGTTTTTGTGAAGGAAATTGTGGAGTCGGTAATTTGCATATTTTGTTTCGTTCGTTTCCTTCGTTTCAAATCCTTTGTCGCAGTCGGAGATGTCAGGGCGCTGTGTGCTGCGCTACTCGAAATCCCCAGGAATTGGGAATTTCAGCAATCCTTGCAATATTTACAACTTTTGCAATTTTTGTAATATCCTTTCCGCTGACGTCCCTCGTCTCTTCGTTTTTTTTTTCTTCTTTTTTTCTGTGCCAGTACGCTTTTTTTACCAACCCATCCCGAAGCCACGTCCGGTGCATTTTTGTGTGCTTGAAGGGCCGAATTGAACAATAAACAATAGAGGCCGCGATTTGTCGATCTGAATAAAAAAAAAAGGAATAAAATGAAAAATATCCCGCGCGATGCGGTGCACAGGACAATTACCGGAACACGCATCGAGCATGACGGAACGTTTAGAAATCACAGCTGAAGGTGGAATTAAAATGATGGATTCGTATAAAATTCAATAAAAAGAAATATATATGTATAAATTACAGATTTATTCAACTAGAAAGAGTTTCGCTGTCATTTTTAACACTTTTTTTTTATTCTCGATTCTCGTTCGGCTGTGATTTTTGCATTAAAGCGGCTTTAACAGGGGAAACCATGTGCATGTAGTTGTAAATGTTTTAACATTGACTCGTCAGAGTTTTGTTCCAGCCTTTCCAAGCCATCGTCGACGTCTTCCGCCATTTTTACGTATAGATAAATGTGCGTCTCTTGTATCCATTTTTTTTCCCCCCTTCTTTCGCGTTCCCCAATTTGCAATTTAATCGAATTTTGTCTGCGCTCGTCACGTTCTCACGTGGGGGAAAATTGTCCGCAGACTTTGACATCCTCGTTCGAAGTGGCTTTTGAAGAAATTCCCTGATTTCCTTTTTTCCCCTTCTTTCATATTTCTTTCTTTTTTTTTTTTTTCTTTCACAGTGAAATAAAAATGGTAAGGCGTCGACGATTTTGCACGAGAGGCCTGGGACGCTAACGAATTAAGATACGAAAAATTGATTGACATTTTCTTTTCCCTCCTTCAAGACGAGTACAATCTAAATCCTGGTTTAGAATGGGAGGACGAGTTTACAGGTAGGTAAATCACATCCGAAAATGATAAGACAATCGCCCCGATTCCCCCGTATATTTCCTCGTCGAACAATGCAAAGAATTGAAAAGAAAAAAAGAAAGAGTAAAATTCACCCTACCACATTTTCACGAGAAAGGAAAGATGAATTATCGAAAGAGCCTCTCACGTAAATCCGAAAACTTTGCTACCACTTACCCTTCCATCATTCCACGAGTACTCCGATAAGAGGGGGAACCATCGATATTCCATGGATTTCTTTTTTTTTTTTTTCTCCACTGTACAATTCCATCGTTAGGAATACCTCACTTTTTATTCATTTATTTTTTATCTTCCACCCCGAGTAAAAAGTGGCATGGCGTACGATCGCAGATCAGTAGTCTTTGTATGTGCAGTATTTACGTTGTCTAATCTCCTATCGGAGAGGTATCACATGATTTGTAAGCTTGTCATTTTTCTCCCATTTTTTTGTTTTTTGTTCAATTCTTATTTATCTAAGTGTCAGTATTGGTCTTACATGTTCAAGTGTGGACGAGAGGGACGTGTCTCTACGTTTCTATGGGGATGCGAGGAGCCAATTCTTTTATTTATATATTTATATTCTCTTTCTCCGTACTTATACGTAATTTCAATTTTAATCTTAGCAAATTCCAGCTCGTCTCGTTGGAATGATATCGGAAAATACTCGACCCTCCATTGTTGCGTAGAGACGCGCGCTCGATATTGTAAACGGTTGCGCGGTTTTTAGCGAAATTTAAGTCGTTCCAGGAACGACGAGTCCTTAGACATTAATTTTGCAGACATGTCGTATCGACGACTTGAATTTCGTGGGAACGTCGACGCAATCGACGATGCATGAGACTCGGGAAGCTGCGTTAATGTGTCTCCACTCTGTTGTCCCCTTCTTTGCTCTCCTTGGTCTTATCGAGATCATTATCCGGTGAGAACGTCCATCCGAACGTTTAAATGTCTAGAGAGAAAAAGAAAAAGAAAAAGGAAAAAGAAAAAAGAAAATAATCAGACAGTCAATTTAACTGGATTTAACGCGAGTCGACTCGGGACCCGCCATCAAGGAATCAGCTGATTACCTGCAGGGCGCTATCATAAGAAAAGTCGTCCCCAGGATAACGGGTACCCTTTCCCTCGCTTTGTCTCCTTAAAACTCGACCTCGTCCTTACAAAAATTTCGCTCAAGGCACTCGAAGGGTGGAGAGACATGGCTCAACTCGGAAAGGCACAAGATTCCACGTTAGCGTTGTCGAGCAGATGACGGTGATAAGCGATAACACGTATCATCTCACGTAGCACGTTCATACCTCTCCCTTACATATCTGCACAGACCTCGATGTAGCATGACCTCTTTATCTCTCTCTCTCTCTCTATCTGTTTCTCTATCGACCTGTACGCTTAAACGTCGACGCTTTGATCAGTCACTCGAGAATTACCCGTAGAGCTCGTATGATCACGATTACCTGAGTACACCTGAGGGTACCTACCCTGAGAAAAGAGTGTCATCGAAACAATATAACATTTTCATAATTCAAAGGATAATTATTTCACTCAAATAAACTGGAAATAAATTGGATGCAACGTTTACTCGGGATTCGCGATAGATCATTTATTTCAGCTCGTTTGAGTCTAATTCATTGTTCATTGAATTAAGAAAATATTTCTTTGGCTCGATGAAGTCTTTTCTTCTCTTTTTTTTTTCTCTTTTTTTTTTCTCTCTGTCTCTGGAGTACCTGAAGTAACGCTAGTCATTTAGATTACTCTCGTTGTCCGAAGACCCGAGACCACAGAAATTATTCCTCCATTATCGTTCACCTGGAGGCACTTTTACTCCAGGTGGGCACTCTTCGTCGAACTTGTCAGGTTATTCCCTTTTCGCGATTCTTGGATTGCATGGACCTCGCCTGTTGAAGGATCGTCTCGTTATCTCGAGGAATTCTATGCACTCGGTGTAGCTTATCTTAGGATTATGCCCTAGGTCGCGAATTCGCGTCCTTTCCAAGGGAGTGCATCGGCGATGGTCATCTGTAATTTATTTCAATTAACAATTGCATACATGATATCAGGAGTTGAGCTGATTTAAATCCTTTGATTGAAATCACGAGGGAAATCGTCGATTTTAATAAGCTGACTGTCAATCTTTAAAATCGCGATACATATATATATATTTTTTTTTAACAGTCCGAGTACTACCTAACAACTGAATGTACAAGCCCTTGTAAAGGAAATATTTTTTCAACCCTTTCTACAGATAACGCTAAAACGCGCAAAAAGTGGGAATGATCGATCGTACCCTCCCGAATTGTGACAATTGTTAATTAATATCGATTGAACCTAATCTCGTAAACCAGGAGTTTATTTAAATAACTAAGATATTGAAAAAGGTCGTGATTTTTTTTAAACCATTCATAATGTATACGTAATATATATGAAATCGTACGTAGAAGATACGTATAGTAGACGTATTCGCTGAAGCCTCCCTTGGGTCGAGTCGGTGTTCTCTTTTTTTTTAATTCTCTTTTTTTTTTTTCGGCTCGAGGACGAACCCGATAAGAGTGAAAGCGTAGGTCGATTCGAGTAGATCGAGAGGATCGAATAGATAGGCTTGCGGGAAAAGAGCAGCTAGGGTTCTCGTAGCTGGGCCAGCTTATTCACCACAGTTTTGACATATGACGACGGCCAAGCCGAGGATGAGGAGAACAGCTTGCCGCACATGGACGGCTTCCAGAGCAAACTTCCACCGGGGATCCTCCCCCATGGGTTGCCCCAGGTCAAGGAGGTGCAACCTGCCGTCACGCAGGTGGAGCAGGAGAAGGAAAAGGAGAAGCCTAAAGAGGGTAAGAGTTATTTGCATCGGAATAGAACAAAAAACGAAAAGAAAAAAAAAGACAAGAAAAAGAAGATCAGTCTCGGTCCTCGAAATTCGATATTGAAGATATTGACTAGTAGCAGAAAATATTTCCCTTATATTTTCAAGATGTCTAACGAATATCGTACCTTTTGTAAATATTTATCAGACACTGGGAGATATTTGCAAGACATTTACTTTGGAATATTATTATTTATAATATTTGCATGATATTACCTCCACGTGTTTCCCTTAATATTTTCTCTTATAGATATACAAAGCGATTCGTTTCGTTTTAATATAAATATATATTTTTTTTTCATACCAATAAGGTACGAGGACAGTTAATTTTCGCGAGTTTCAAAACATTCGTTAGGGTCTCCATTGTCACATGTTGAAGCTTCCTATTATTCAGCGGACCCAGTTCGGAGGAAAGTTTTGTCAATATTTTGACATTTCGATGTATACATGGAATGACCCTTTCGTATCACCTTAAGTTCGCGTAATATGTTATAAAAAGATCCTCGCGTACGTTTGCGAGGCTTATACTTCTTGAAGGAAAGAGAAAAAAAATTTTAAAAGGACCCGGGAGGATTGCTTGTACTTGTACCTTCGTATTTACAGTGAGGGAGCTTAGCGAAGAGGAGAAGCAGATGATCATTCTATCGGAAGACTTCCAACGCTTCCTGTATCGCACGAGCCGCATCGTCGAGAGAGCACTCGGAGAGTCAGTCGACATTTACACGGATTACACGGGAACCACCGACGGAGAAGACGGGATGTAAGTCCAAGGGCCGCTTCAGGGTCTATCACGTCGAATCTGCTAAAAGAAAAATGTTGAGTCGAGGCGGAAATTCCTACATTTTTTTGTTCACGATTGAGCGAAGAAAAAAACCACCTCGACACAATATTCCAATATAAAAAAATGTATTCGGTTGAGGCATAATTTCGTTTTTTTTTAATTTTATTTTATTTAATGTCGAACGTAAAAATGTATGCCTTGGCCCAATATACTTAGGAATCTAGGATTAATTCAAGATGAATTTCAGGGATGAGAAGAGCCACCAGAGACTCTGGCTGAACCGCTCCTTCTTCTGCGAGCGCTGGTCCAGGAACAGGTGCGTCACCTCCATGGACTGGTCCCCGCAGTTCCCGGAGCTGCTGGCCGCCTCTTATAACAACAACGACGACATTCCCAACGACCCGGACGGAGTCTGCCTGATCTGGAACACCAAGTTCAAGAAGACCACCCCGGAGTTCATATTCCACTGTCAGTCGCCGGTCATGTCCTGCACCTTCGCGAGATTCCACCCGAACCTGATCCTCGGCGGGGCGTACTCCGGGCAGATCGTCCTCTGGGACAACCGCGTCCAGAAGAGAACCCCCATCCAACGCACACCGCTCTCCGCAGCGGCTCACACGGTACGTCTTCGCCTAGATTATACGAGGTTCCTTCTAGACCTGGAGGATTAAAAAAAAAAAATCATGGTCACTCTTCAGCATCCGGTGTACTGCCTGAGCGTCGTTGGAACCCAAAACGCGCACAACCTGATCAGCATCTCGACCGATGGGAAGCTGTGCTCGTGGAGCCTCGACATGCTGTCGCAGCCCCAGGAGACCCTGATTCTTCAGGCGAAGCAGTCGAAGCCGATCGCGGTTACGTCCCTTGCGTTCCCCCATGGCGATGTGAACAACTTCGTCGTCGGCAGCGAGGACGGGACCGTGTACTCGGGTAACAGCCTGCGGCTTCCTCCCCGTTTGGAGGGCATACGGATACCCTCCTACCTCAATTTTCTTCCCTTATAACGGTAGAGTCGAGGGATGTCGAGTGACCAGGGTTTTGGATTTCAGCCTGTCGGCATGGGATCAAGGCTGGCGTCACCGAGACCTACGAGGGTCACCAGGGTCCCATCACCGGCGTCAGTGCACACGCCGTCCAGGCTGGCATCGATTTCTCTCACCTCTTCCTGACGTCGTCCATCGACTGGACCGTCAAGCTCTGGAGTCTGAAGGAGACCAAGCCGCTCTACTCGTTCGAGCACAATGGCGATTATGTCTACGACGTCGCCTGGTCTCCGACCCATCCGGCGCTCTTCGCCACCGTGGACGGGTCCGGCAGGCTGGACCTCTGGAACCTGAACCAGGACACCGAGGTGCCGGCTGCGAGTATCACCGTCGACGGGTGTCCTGCCCTGAACCGCGTGTCCTGGACCCCTAGCGGGTTCCACGTCACCGTTGGCGATGACACCGGCAAGGTCTGGGTCTACGACGTCGCAGAGGTACGTTGGTAGGGTTTTATTTATGCATTTCCTCGATAGTGGGATTTTTACGCCAGTTTGATAGTCATTGATATCGGCAGCCTATTAGAAAATTAATATGGCGTATGGAATCCCGCTATTGACGCTAGAGTTGAAGGATTACGCCTCAACCTTCATGGTAAAATGGGAATGGAGTATCGCTGCACATTCATGTATGTGTCATGTGTATTATTTATTAATGGGTGTTCGAAGACATGGAAAAAGAGGAAGGAAAGACTCGGGTCTAAGTTACAATGCAGGGTCTGCTTTTCAAGGGACCTTCTTGTACCCTAATACAATGGCTTGTTCGTCTCGCCTCGACGATAATGGTAATACCGATAATCATCGTAATTTATTTTTATCGACTGATCCAGCACCTGGCGCACCCAAGGATCGACGAGTGGAACAAGTTCCTGTACACTCAGCAGGACCTGAAAAATAACAAAGCCGACGAGGAGTTGGATAAACTGAATCCTGGTAGCTCGGGGCCCTCGTCCCTGTCCCCGCTTCTCCTGGGCCCTGTCAGATAAACGAAGAATCGAGATGAAAACCGCAAGGAGCCATTCCTAAGGCACTAACAGCCTAACTGTACTAATTAATTAGCGTAGCCTACCCGAGAGTATGTCGAAGGGCTTTAAACGAGGGATAAGAAAGGAAAACCAATGTACAGTTTCTGTCGCTGCTCGCGGGATGGGCGGTATTGCCGACATTACTGACATTTAAAAATTAAAAAAAAAAAGGGAAACGATTGCAAGAGAACTGTCTTATATTAACTTAGTGGTCATCTTAAGTAAATCGTAAGAATTGTTTAGAGAGCAGCGTCTAGTTTTATGTCATCTTCGGTCATGTACCTCGTCGTTATTTGGCTTCGATGATGCTCTGGACTGACACCTCCTCCGATACGTTTCCGTCTTGTCGTTCTAATCACTCATGTAATTAAGTCTACTTATTTAATCTTAAATCCGAAGTCTCACACTTTTTTTTTGTAACTCTTTGCGTGTAAATAATATCAGGTGTGCGTTGTTGTTTCACTTGGATGAGAGAACACAGAGCCGAGGAGAGTGTTTAACAGTTTCCGCCGTGTTGTACATCGGTTTGTATAAAAGTCAGTGACAGGTCTCCCGTTGCAAATGTAAATTGGTTTCCCGTCGATTAGTCGCCCCCGTCTTTTGTGCGTATTTAAATCTGAATGTAACGTTCTCATAGTATTACGTTATTATATGAAAGCAACACGTATGAATATATATATATATAATACATATAACCTAAAAGCGTCGTTACACGTTCTTCGTTATTTGTAAGACTCATTGTACGGTCGTCCGGATTTGTAAAGCATATTGCTTAAGACATTTTTACTCCGTTTCCTTTTCTTTCTTTTTTAACCAGTTTTATCTCGTTTGTAGAAGTTCTCGATATATCCGAATAAACTTTCGTTGCAGTGATACAACTCCAGCATGATACTTTAGTAAAACCTATCAGAACCCAATGTTTTCGATGTCACGGAGGTCCAAATGATATGGTCAGCTGATCCGACAGATGTGGATCAAGGTGAACCGACGGATGTGAACGTAAGGTTCCTTTAAGGACATATCGGGTGACTCATGCGAAAACATCGAAGAGCAGTTCCAATGGAGAAAGACTGTCGAGGGACCCAGGAGTAATAAATGTTCTGCTCAGCAGACGTAATTTTTCAAACCGTTTCTTTTATTCAAACTGAACCCTAACCCCAAAACCCGGCACGGTGACCTAACCGCAAGAAATTGAATTCATGATTCATCTCACGGGCGATCAACTCTGACGTAAACCACGTAAACGTCGAAGCGGCTAACAGAGCTGAGCATGCGGCTAAACGGCGCGTAACGTCACTGCGCGACGTCAGATTTAATTATAAACACGGAGCAGGGCGTCTCCCGTCACCAATCGATACGATTGACACGATTGACACGATTGAACTCGATCAGGGACCGTTAACTTTCTCTCCCCTTCACGTCTCTCGCTCCTTTTCCGTGTTTCTTTTTGCAGGCCTCCAGCGTTGGCCACAATGGACCAGCAAAGAGGAGAAAAAGAAACGACCAAAGGGAAATCGGCCCCGATCCGACAGGCGCCGGCGGTGAGATCAGTCGAGTGTGCAGGAAAGCGAGCAGTAAAGAACCTGGAAAGCAATTTAAAAAAAAGGGGGGGGGGAACTCTTTTAAAGTAAATGGACGCCAAATTGCCGGATTCGTACTCAACAGTACACGTCATTCGTGTCATTCATCTCGCATTACTATTACGCTAAATCCCTCTTCGATGAATGGACATTCGAAATCGAAATCGACATTTCAGGTTAGGTTTCGGTTCGCGGGGAGGAAATTATCGATGAGGGAGGAAGCGGCCGAGTTGGCGGCGAAATTGTGCTAATTACAGGGCCCCGTGCAAACTGCAAGTGAATGCAAAGCAATGCAAAGTGCAAGTAAATAGCGGCTTGCAACTCGGCGCATCCAGGGCTCCGCCTTTGCCGCGCATGCGCGATGGATGCGCCCAGTAAAGTGCGCAATGAGGCGACTTGGAGGTAGCACTATCGATTCTTAGAAAATGCTCACAAAATGCACGGAAACAACAGGCGCCTTGTACTTTTGGGTATTTTTCACTAACGCGAGCTTTTCTTGCGAAATGCCTTCCGGTTTTCAAGCTGTTAATGGATTTGATAGGGTTTCGATGGACAAATTTTTCGCGCCATGTGTACGGCACTGCCGCCGTGACGAGCGCCTTGTGCGCATGTGCGGAAGAGGAGGAGTTCCGGCTGAAGCGGCCGTTTCGGCATCAGTCAGTGTCCGCGGGCCGAAGGGGTTGGTCGGGAGGTGAGAGTGCTCTTCCTTTTGAGAAGATATATACTGTTATCTCCAACTGTCGCCTGCTGCGAGTTGTTTGCCTTGCATTAATCGTCGGCTTAAGTGGCAAGCTGTGACAATGGGTGACGCAAAAACAGGTAAGACGTGCGCCGGTTCTAACTTCCGGTATCAGATAGGTATATACAATTTTTTGAGGATTTTATCAAGATTCCTACAGAATTTCGAATCATGTAAAAATTCATTTTTTATACTGATATTCTCTATTAAATATGGGATATTTTTTAATTTTGTAATTTTAAGTATGTACTTAAGTGCGGTGCTGGTTTCTTTTTTAAATGATGCATATATGTTTTGTGACAGAACATATTGTGATGACACCGAAATGCAAAACCGCAAACTCGACGACACTCATAATAGAGAGACAAGCGTTAGATCCTCCTGCCAAGAATGGAAATGAGAACAACGTCCATGTGGCTGGTGGTGACCATAAGGGGATAGTCATTAATAAGCAGACGGTTGCTGGTAACGTAACGCCGTTGCTTGTATTCTCTGGCCACCGCTGGATTGCTCTTAATCCCTGATTAATTTCACAGTGTCGAATGGCGTTTCACATCCAGCCAATGTCTGCCTGGTGTTTAGAGTCTTTTTGGTGAGCGGCCAAACGGGCAAACATACCCAAGAGTCAAGAACGCTGCAGTTTTGGTTTACGGATAAGCTCCCGGAGAGCGAATATCCGAGCGTGGCACAAGAATTTTTTCGGGAGCTGGTTAGCCCGCAGGAATTTCCAAGAGGTAAGTTGTGATCATAAGCAGCATTCCATCGCCGTTATTACCGATATCTTTACTATCTTGATGACCTTGTGTTGCAGATTATGTCGGTTTTATCAAGAAGATAATGAAATTAATGCAGCACAAATACCCCTCCGTTCAAAAACTGGAAGTGGAGCTGAAGCAACTCGAGGAGCCCGTTAGTCTTCCAGCTAGGCCCTGTAAGTGTTATTCTTTGTATACACGGTTGGATATATTTTCCTTGATCCTAGCTCAGGGAGTTAGTTTGTTTTCAAACTCGAGCTTCCTTCCTAACTAAAACCATTACATTGGAATAGGTTCCCTGTTTTCTTTTCGCTATTAATGGGTCGGTAGGGTTTGCATTTCCTCATAAAATTTAATCCGATTTGACCCAGCGATCCTAAGCTTAGATGTAATTCTCAGATTTAATTCAATGTGCCCATTGAGTCAAACTCGATAGATCCAGTAACAAGGAGTCTTTGTACTTCGAAGTCGGTTTCATGGGCATGACTCATAGCTGTGCTATCATCCAAGAGAGAATTGATTAAAGAAGGTATCGTGGACCGTAAGGGCGATGGGTCATTGCTAATGTAATTATCCTTATTGAACCATTGACTTGCGGACTAAAGAGGGTAATCGGTCAGCGTGTCTCGAGGGCTCGTTGAGGCGAAATTCAAAGGAAGCAGCTACTTGATCTTGCGATCCGCTCACATCTAATTAAGACCTTTAAAACACTGAACCCTCAGCATTGTCTACAAGGCCTTCGCCGTTTGTACACGATTAATCCCTCTTTTGACGAATTTGTTGAAACCATAAATCTTGTTATTCGCAGCTCAGAAGGACCGTATACAGTTAGTACCACCTCGAGCTAGAATCCGAATTTGGAAATCAGGTTGGAGCAGTCTTTTAAATCCGGCATCCCACCGTCACGTTTCGTTGTCGGTTTCCATTAGTCACGGCCAGCATTCACACGCAGATTGTAGCACGAGGCAAATAACACCGTATAATATTTTACCGATCTGTGTATTTACAAGCGGCTACGCCCAGCAATGACTTTATTACGCGCATGACTTGTAATTCGCTTTTAGATCTACAACAACGTCTCGTGACTTATTCGAAACCGACGTTATGTGTCACCTGGATTATCATTTTGTAAAACGTTAATCGTTAAGGGGGTGTAAAAGAGACAAGTACCGAATAGTTTAAAACTATACACTATTAATATAAAGGCTTTGAAGAAGATCCTGACACCCATCTCATATTTTATAAAAAAAAATGGTCTAAATAACTAAACAAATTAAATAAAAAATTGAATCTTCATGAGTGTCGGGACCTTCTTTGGGGTCTATATATTAACATTGTTAAGTTTGAAACGATTCGGTACACCCAGTCCGGAGAAAAGTTTCATAAACGAGACCTCCTCGACGTCACTTTCACGTCACCTTAATACATTTTCCATCCATTGATTCGGTAGACACGGAATCGTAGTTCTGCAAGCTGGTAACCATAACAGTATTGACTTAACACGCGTTCGCAGCTTATCATCCGCATTTGCATAAAACAATCGATGGGAAATTATTTATCCCTCGAGACCCCGAGATCCGAAACTCTTGCGGCGTCCTGTTTCGTAACTCACCCTGGCCTACGTATTGCATTTCATAAACTACTTGCGAACCACTTGTCAGCCTCGTTTGTAACGAGCAGTCCTTCCAACAAACGTGTACGCACACTCGTTAAGAAATATCAGTTTCACAGAATACGTAGCATGATGTTACGCAAGATGCGAGATGATCAGGTCATATTCGCATTTTTTGTTTAAAAATGTTCATACTAACTGCCTGATTTTTTTTTTTTTTTTTTAAGCAATCTTATGCGTTGTTTATATGAATTTGTTTATTTAGTGTCCACAGATGAAACGGCGCTGGGACGAGTGGTCGAGCTTACTTTGGAAAAGGTTTTGGAACTCATCGAGTCTGCTTACCCAAATCCTGTCACCATCGTTGACATTGCCAAGTGAGTGGAAATGCTCTTTTCTCCTGAGCTTATTCATCGAGGAAGGTATATTGATGTCGAGGAGGAGGATTCATTGTTACTCACTTTAGGGAACATGGCTGGGATACCGCAGAAGTCGAGGCAAAGCTGCAAGAATTGCAGAAGAAAGGTATCGTTAAGGCTATGGAACACGGGGCCTATACAAGGGTCGTGAGTCAGGATTTAAGTGTCCAGGTTTGTAATTGCAATTTGGAAGTAAATGCGTGGCCAAATTATTATTGCTTTTATATTGTATGATGTAATTGTTCGCAGGTGGTCAAGCAGATACCTACGATGGTAAGCTCGAAGCAACCTACCATCGCTATCATCACTGCGCAGTATTGCGAGAAACTCGCTGTGGATTCTTTGATCGAGAACAAGGAGACATTCGTTCGCTACACAACTGTTGGTAAGAATAGACGAAGATCGATGTCCGCCAGTTATTTTAGATGTGGAATGTAATGATATTTTTAGGACGTCTAATTTATTTACCCCGCCCGAAGGGCACCAATTTAGACGATTTCCAATTGACCCTCTCGTAGGTCAAGGTTGCACTTTGGAGGCCCTATTTAATTTAAAATGCTTAACTAACTGCTTGTCCGATTTTAAAAGTTGATTAGTTCGGTGCAGGGTACGTGTGATTTAAGTCAGTTTTATGTCGAGTCAAATTGATTTCATCGTCGGCATGTAAAATCATCTGGAGAATTATGTTGATTTTATTTTAGGTTGTACCCTGGACCTCTATTAGCGTTTCTCCTAGTCTACCATAGGAAACCTCTAAACATAACCTAAATTTTAAGAACATTTTGTTGCTTCATTAGCCAGTGTTGCGCGAGGTAGTAATTTTTCTTAGTACTTTTAATAGTACTTCGTGCGATACTGCGCAGAGTTAGCCCTTTCGATGCAAACTTTTCCTTTACTTTATTCTGCATGGAACTTTAGGTACAGCGACTTCTCCGGACAGCACCGATGGAGTGCCCCGAGTGGTTTGCCGTTTCGGTAAAGTAGTTTGTAACATAGTTTTCTAATCTAATGCTTAATTTAGTACCGTTTCATAGCTTGTCAAATGCTTGTGTCCAAGGAACTTTGTGGGGCGAAGGTGCTGAGCGTATTTAACTTTGAGATGAACTTGTTTAACTGTTCACTTGTTCAGCTGTCTTCACTGGAATACTTTCATGTATATTCATTTCATTTACATTTAATTACTTGTGACTCATCCGTCGGCTCCTTTACTTGCAATGATTAACATCACCATAATTTTTGTGCACTTTGCAGAGGTAATAAAAAAATCAATTTTTAATACCAATGATATGCACTGCAATTATTCGAAGCAAGATTGTTTCATTGTCTTTAATATCAGTCGACTAGATTAAGAATTGATTTTTTTGGATTTTGTGTACCCTGACATTTCACGTACCATACATTATTTGGTCACATTTCCTTCATGTCAGAATGATCATTTTTTTTGTGAACACAGTAAAATTATTTGTATCACATTATGTTTATCAACTCATAAGTTTAGTGTATTTATGCCAATCCAGAAGCCATATGCATCGACCATTGCTACATTTAATTCCATACCGATTTAGGGATCCCACATAGCAGCACAATACACATGTATAATACACAATTTTTGTGCTAACAAAATCAAGAGTGGAACTGAATAATAATGCCACTGTGATTTACAGGGGAGTCCAACGTGTACACTCTGGGAAACATTGGCGCCCATCGAATCGTTTGTACAAAATTACCCACTGTCGGACATACCAGAGAAGCGATGACTGCTGCTGGTAACACAACGACAAGATTATTAGGTACTTACTTTTCTGCGTGGAAAGAAAACAAAAAAAGGTAACAATCCGTAGATAATTCAGAGATTAATCAAGATTTTTCTCGAATTCTCGCAGGTACCTTCCAGAAGGTAGATTACGTTTTCCTGGTTGGAGTCGGTGGAGGTGTACCACACTACACCGATTACAACAAACATGTGAGGTTAGGAGACGTGGTGGTTTCGCACCCCACTCCGTACAGTAAAAAGTACATCTACATCTACTGCGAGCAGGCCAAGCTTCACGAGAGCGGAAGTTATCACTTCGAGACCAAAGAATACTGCCCATCCAATTTGGGGCTGCAGGAGATTGCAGCGAATTTGAAATCCCAGGTAAATGCACCCCCATGCCGTGGTACTTGGAGGTTTGATCAGAGTATTTATAATAATTCATACTCAAAGAATCTCTGTACTTCAGGCAGAAAATGGCACGAGTCCACCGTGGATGACTTACATGAAGGAAGGCTCCGACATCCTACGCTCTCAATCTGAGCATGACTTTGATTCACCCCCTCTGGAGTCTGACAAGCTGTACATGGCCATCGGAGAACGAGATGTAATCGAAGTGGCCCATCCCGCCGCCCCTCAAGACTCGACCAATAAAAGGTGCGAGCTGAAATAGAAAATCCAACTCGATTAAGATTAATGAAATCCTCATGGCGGATAATTGTGCAGATTGGATGGCTGCCCACGTATCCACTTGGCACCGGTGGCTTCCGGTAGGCAAGTTTCTCGAGACGACCAGCTGAGGCAGAAATTCGCAACGCGGTTCGGCACCCTTGCTTTCGATGCCGAGATGGACGCCGTCGTGGAGAGCATCCTGGGGAACTGTCGCGACAGTTTCGCGGTCGTTCGAGGGATAGCGGATTACAAGGACGGCTCAAGAATCAAGGAATGGCAGCCCTACGCCTCCCTGGCAGCGGCCAGTGTCGTGAAGGCTATTATCTGCGCCATGGATCCACCCACTAACGTTTAAGTAGCTAGACAACGGGAACGGCACGTCGTTCCGCGGTTTCTCCGCATTTACGGAAGTGCCATTGAATGTTCTAACCGACGTGAGCAAGTCCTCGTTTAAGGTTATGTGAAAGTGGCGTCGAAGGGTTCTCATTCTTGAAACTTTTCTCCAAACTGGACGTATAGAATTGATTCAGGCTTTACAATGTAAATATGGTGGAGTACAAGGAAGGTCCTGAAACTCTCTAAATTTCATTTTTTCTTTAATCTGTTTATAAGTATTTTAAAGATTTTTCTTTATGAAAAATCAAGTTTCGTGGGTATCAGAATCTTTATAGCCTCTGCGTTCACAATGTAAAGATTAAAATGATTCGGTGTATCCAGTTCGCAGAAAAGTTTCATGAATGATTGACTTTTTACATGTCAATTTAACCTTTAAGGAGGGCGCGGAAACTGCCCAACGATTGCAAGTTATGTAGCAGTAGAAAACTCACGACTGGATCGTCCCGATGAGAGTTCTATTCGTATTTCGTGATTCTAACGACTATATGGTTACGTCGATATCAAAATGTAGGAGAAATATTATTGAAATTCTATAGTGATAAGGGGCAGAGAGGGCACTACTATATTATAGACCAGTTACAGGGAAGGAAGCACTCTTCTAAAGGGTGTTGGCAGCATAGCAAACGGATGGTATACTAGGCAGTATTTGTCGATTGCAATCAAAGTGTTAAATTTAATAGTATATATCGAGTATACATGTCTATCAGAGTTGATAAGTCTCAAGCAAGTTTACATTGCGATTTCTGTCGGCGCGGTCAAGAAGACCCGCGTTCTGTCGTACCAATGAGAGAGCCTTACGTCGGATGGCTAGCGGGAGATATTTCTCACGAAGGGACCTTAATCGTTGAAATGTTCAGATCGTGCAACTCTGCAAGCACGAATCGACATTAATGTGATAATTCCTCGAAGCAATTCAAATGTTTTAGCCTTTAAAATGTGAAAAATGTGAAAAGTGTGGTTTCTTTTGAGGTTAGGTGCGTGAAAATTATTCGTTCTTTTTTGTTGTTCTCGCAGAATCTCAGGATCTGAACTCTTCAAGGGAGCTCCCTGCTAGCGGTGTTGAAATCGAAACTATCGAGATACGTGCCAATGTGTTCAAAGAATGTGAAAAATCACTGCCCTCCGTTGAATATCGGGTAGCAGGATTCCTTTCGTCATTTGCACAGAGTCCAAACGAGATCGGTCTTTGGAGACGTTTTAATTTTTTTTCTTCGTAAAGTTTACCTCACGGTTTTCATATTCTGACACACAGGGTAGAGAGAGAGCCAGGGGTCAAAGAGAGATGTCTTAATCAAGTTGGATGTCGCGATAGATAGTATATGCACAAGTGCAGATCGCATAATTTTTAAGTAGCAGAGCGTAATATATGGATATATTGTCGGAAGCAGTCGTAGACGTTTGTGTCCGTCGGACATAACAAATGTATCCCATCAAAGGATATTTAATTTGGACTTCCTTCGACCAGCTTCCAGTCGATGGCAAATGTGAGACATTTTACAAGGAACGATTGATTATTTTGGAAATTGCTTGCAGGTGTTAGGGACGGAAGGGCTCGTTAATTATTTCCTTTCTTTTTTTTTTATTTTAATCTTGTCTCGAAAGGTTGGTTCCTTAATCCTCTTTCCTTTACCGAGTCAATTGTTCTGGAAACGCAAAGCTTCCACTGACGTTACCGCTGCTTCCAGCACAACTATATATAGAGATACAGATTTATTGTAACTTATTTATTTATTTATTTATTAACACTTAATATAAGCGTTGATTCCTTTCCGTGTCGCCAGCAAACGAGATGGTTTTATTTAGAACTTTGTAGGTATAGAAGCTAAACCTTCCGATATCTACAATCTTGAAAAAGAGACTGGGATCGATATAGTTTTTCTTTTTCTCTTTGGCAAAAAAAAAAGATAATGTCTTTCGAATTTCGCGATTAAAGTGTGTCCAATGTCGAGAGAACTTGCAGGCATGACAAAAGGTGAGAATCACTCGTTGTCTAGATGCACAATTATTAATAATTCCGAAAATCTATAGAGTGACTATTATATACACATAAATGCTATATCTATATACACTGTACACGAGCGTAAGACATACTATTGCGCATAGTATTACACGTGGAATTTTAAATTCGATTTACCTGACAACAGATTCCTATATGTAAGGCCTAAAAGTAATAATGTACACGTCGGAGGACCATCCAAGATGCTCTTTCGTTTTTATTTAGTTGTACCGTAATAGTGCTTTTTGACGCTAGTCGTTTCATAGTGTTTCCTAAATGATTGTGATTAGATTCAGGGATTCCCGGTTTGAGGTCAAGCCATCCGAGGAGAATTCAATCTACGGCGACTTCCTTCTCGATTTCCACCGTGCTTCGCGTTTAATTTCTCCACAAGACGTTTATTTACCGCGAGGTATCTCAAAGCGAGACGTTGAAAGTAAACAAAGGACCTTCTACTCCAATTTAAGACAGAGTTTATAATATATAATAATATTGATAATAATTTATTAATTGTAATTCCGCACTGTTAGCGCAGCGTTAAGACCCTCGTAGAATCGGACGCCGACTTTAGACCGTACGAATGTTTATTTATTCAAAGCTTGTTCGTCCCGGCGCGGAAAATAGTTTAAGCCCGGATTGACCGCGCGATACCAAATCTTATCGTTATCGAGAGATGCTTTTGTTGCTTAATGCTTTAAACCTGAAGCGGAACCTGTGATAACGCCACGGCTCATTTATGTAGAATTAGGCCTCCTATCTAATTAGTCTAGCAAAATGAGCTCCAAAGTGGTCCGAGGTGGTCCAATGTCTCAACCGCGGTATCGCGATTTCGGAGTAAAATCCTCGACATTACCGATGAGTCCTGCAACACTCGACTAACAGTGTAATTCCCCTTTACTCGATTCTGTAATTTGCATTTATTGTATCTGCGTTTGTACTTTCTTTTCTCATAAAGAGAATTGTGAACTGGCATGGTCTGTTGTAATTGAACTTCGTCCACGGTAATGGAGATTGCTATTGATTTATCAACGCCGAGACTTAGGTACTCTGATAGAATTTCCCGGGTAAGATCTAGTCGGGCTTGAAGCTCGCCTGAAATTCCTCCTTTTTTTGGGCCTGCATAGTTCTGAGATTTTTCTGGATTTTTTGTACGGCTCCGGAGACCTGGACTCTCCTGCACCGCCCCTGAATCTACACTCAGGTGCGGTATGTCTACACTCAGGTGCGTTATGTCTGCACCCAGGTGCATCTCTGCTCTCTGAGGATGCTTTTCTGTAAGGATCGGCAGAGGTGCCAGGTGTGGAAAAATTGTCCTGCTGCAAAACGTCGTCCGATTCCTGGGACGGTCTCTGCGAGGTTCCATCGGAGCTGCACCGTCCGAAGGACTCGCTTCCTGTGAAATGGGGATTTTGAGGTCCATAGCGATAGTTCCTTGCCATGCTTGCGTCCTGGGACCAATCGTGATCAGGGCAGGTAACAGGGAAATTTTGTTCCAAGTTCCTGGTCCCGGAGGATCCGAGGCAGCGCCTTAGACCTCGCACTCGGCGCATCCTGGAACACCTCCTGGATGTCCTGGCAGGTAGGAAGGACGACCTCGTCAAGAAACACGGACGCCTTGAATTATTTGCTCCTGGGGCTAGCCTCCGGCATCCTGGCAGGACCTGGGGGTGAGAGAGTCTTAAATCCATGCGCAGATGGAAGTAGACGATCCCGAAGATGTCCTTACCCCGGCAGGTTCGAGCACTCCTTCCAGGATTATCATACCGTGGGGGAAATTCGGAGCATTCGACACACATGGAACCCTGGAGCCAGGAAGTCCGCATACTTCGACCCCTTCGCTGGAAAGGGAGTCCTGACCCTGGGAGAGAGGATCCCGAGGACCTGGAGATGCGGCCGGATGCGGTGGTCCTCTTCTTTTATCCTTCCCTTCCCCTAGAATAATTTATGCAAAATGTGTTGCGGAATAATGTATTATTTATGTGTGCAGGAAGTATGCCGAGGTACCCTTCGACGCGTCCTCCGGTTTGCTGCGCTCGATGAGCCTCTTCACCTCTTCGACTTCCTCGACTTGTCGGGCGATCGACTTCAGCATCGCGCGGTCCTTCTCCCTCTGACGCTGTAGTTCGAACAGTCGGTCCTCTTCAGCCTTCAGGGATCTCTTGCGGTCCTCGTCCACCTTGTGGATGAACCTCATGTCCTCCTCGAAGAGCTTCTCGGCCTCTTCTTCCTTCCTGCGCCTGGCGACTCGATCCTCCAGGAACATCTCGTGCCTGATCGTCGACTCCTTCTCCAGCTTCCCCAGCAGCTCGACCAGCGACGTCATCTTCTCCTTCGTCTCCTCGATCTAAACGGAAGTTTGCTGCGGCAAATCCTGAGACCTTCTACTTCCCATATGAAGAACCTCCCCGAAGACCGAGGGTGGAAACCCGACCGCACCTTTGCGTATTCCCTGGCGACGATGAGCTCCAGCTGGGAGAACTGGCAGGTGGAAGCGTTGAAGAGCTTCGCCATGTCGTTTATCTCGTGCCTTTGGCTCTTCAGCTCCTGGGCGATCACGAAACACACGTCGGAGTTCTCCTTGACCGAGTCCAGGAACTTCTTCTTCTGGTCCTCCGAGGGCGTGAACTCGCATCGCCCCTTCTTCAGGGTCAGTCCTAGGAGGAGCTCGTCGACCTGCACTGGGACCAAAGCGCCGTTGCTGTCGTTATTTTATTAAACCACCTCACTGAAATATTAATAAACGGACCAAGGGCGTCTCTAATGCGCGAGGGCAAGATTCACCTTCTTCGCCTCCTCCTTGATCATCCGCAACCCTTTCTCGATCATACAGGCGCACTCTTTCGTGCACTTCTCCTCTGCGACCTTGTCTTTCGTCGCCTCGTAGCGAAGTTGCACGTCAGGAAACGTTCCTGGTTCCTGTAGAAAATAAGGGAGAAGCTCTTCAGCAACTATTCGGCGCCGTTAATTAATTTTGTAATCAATTACTTTGAAGTAGCCACCGGTACCAGGCTCTTCGGCGATCTTTTCCAAGGGAACGACTGGCGCCTCTGATCTTGAAGAGCGACCTGCACCTTGAAGAGTACCAGCAACGCTATTTCTCCGCGAAGTTCGCCCTTTTGGGTCGATTACATTTTTTATCAACGAGGTCCGACCTATGGCGGCTGCGATGCTGTTTCGCAGAGAGCTGCGCCCACTTCTGCTCTTCAGCAACGATGCACGACTTGGTGGAAGAGCATGGCCTTGTTGAAGTGAAGTTCTCCCTCCGGGACCAGGAATCGATCCTGGAGAACTGCCGTTTCCTTCTAATGGGGATTCATTGGTATCGCCTGAACTCTTCGGCAATGAAGTACGAGCTGATGGGTCACCCTGAAGAGGACTAACTCCGATATTTTTTGCAGGGGAAGCAGGAATGGTGGGACCACCACTGGTTTCCAGCAATTCTGGACCGCGAAGGAGGCTGGGAATTTTTTTACCCATCCCTGAAGTATACTGCCGACCTGCAACTTCCATTCGGCTCTTCGGCAACGAAGTGTACCTGGTGATGTTATCACCGTTTATTTCAGGTGAGGTATCAGACACATCTTCAGGGTTACTCTTCCCGGGGAAGACGGTATCCCTTGTGCTCACGGCTATGTCATGACTCGAAGTTCTAGTTCCTGCACCAATTGAACCGTTCACCAGGAGTGAAGTGCGCCGGAATGCATCGGCGATCTTCGTTCCAGCTAGAAGAGAGAGGCGAGCTGCGGTGTCAACTACGTTCCCCAGGGAAGAAGTATCGGCCGAATGTGAAGTTCGACGTCTGGGTAAATTGTTATCATCTGACGAAGCGGGATGTTCATTCCTTTGCGAAGCGGGATGTTTATTCCCCTGCGAAGCGGAGAGTCGAGTGCTGCGCCCTGTGCCTTTTGAAGTGGAAGCTCGCCTTCCGGTTTCATTTCTTGTACTTCGCAAGGTAGACCTATGAACTTCGTCTGTATGTTTAGCTTCTTCTTTAGAAGACTGGAGGTCAATTTCTTCGTCAAGCTCGACAGGGCGTGGAGAACGGGTCCCGGCTTCGGGAGCACTTCCCGAGAAGGAAGTTCTGGTTCTGGCACCGATAGGGACATTATTTGGTAACGAAGTTCCACCTGGAATATCACCTGGCGAAGCTTGTACTTCATCACTTAATGGCGATGGCTCTATATGCGAGTCTCGAGTTCCTGAAGAACGAGCCATGGCGCCATCAACTGTGCTTAGACCTGAGGATGGAATCCCAGGATTTGTTGAATTACTCCCAGCGATTTGATCTTCGGCTCCTGAATTAACATCGTTTTTTTTTCTTCCATAACGTCCAGGGTCGGCGCCATTGATCGGACTTTGTATGTCGGCTCGGTCTTCGGATCCAGCTTCTGCTCTGCCAACTGTGTAAGGGTGATCCGCAAGTTCGCCAGCTGTGTCCATATTTACCGGCTTAATTAACTCCTTCAGATCTGAATCAATTGGTCCCAGCATGTTTCCACGTTTCTGGAGAGAGATGTCATCCGTTAAATGATCTGTGATAAACTCGTGTTCTCCGATGACGTCACTCCGCCCTGTACCTGGGTACCGCTTTCCGGGGAAATCGGGTATGTCTTTCACCTGAAAATGACCTCTCTCACCTTCTGGAGCGACAAGATGTTGACGCTCCTCGGTATGGTCATCAGCTAGTGCTCCATGCGTAAGAGCAGCGTCGACCTTCCTCTGTACCTCGGATTGAACATTTCCTTTGACTATGGATCTATTTTCAGGTTGCCAGGAAGTGCTTCTTGGAAATGTTCTTCCTGGTCTTGGATCAGAGTATGGACCAGCAAAGTCGGTCCTATTCCGGTCAGCCAATCGCGTGTCGAGTTCTTCAGCATTGGTCCTTCCAGGAGGAACACCTTCAACACCAACTCTCTCGTTACCAGCTTGAACGTTAGGTCCTCCAGGATCCATCCCTTCGTCTGCCCTTCTAGCTCCACTTCTTCCAGCACTAGTCCCAAGGTCAGTCCTCCCGTCATCAAGTTCCCCTTCATCTCTAATTCTTTCAGCCCCAATCCCTCTAATTCCAGATCCTGCAGCTGCATCGTCCTCTCTTCGAAGGCCAGCTCCCAGGATCTTCGCATCGGCTGCACCACCCTTGCTCCTCCAAGTCTTGCGTTGAGATGCGACTTCATCTCTGCCCCCAAGTTCGCCAGCTCGTCTCCTCGCACCTTGCGCATTTCCAACTTCACCAAATCTTCGATCATCAGCGACATCGACACTTCCTACTTTCTGCCAGCGTCTTCTGGCAACATTTCCTCCGTCTTTGGTACCATATCCTGGATCCGAATTCACGTCCTTGGTGCGAGGTCTCTGATGCCGCATCTTCGTCTCATCGACCGCTCCAATTTTGGGAAGCTTCATCCTCGCAGTTATGTCTTCTATCCCCTCTTTGCAGAGGATGCAGTCATTGTCGATTTGGTTGCTTCCCGTGGACGAGTGCCAGGGTTCCCTTTTCCCTTCAGGGTCTTTGCTTCTGGTCTTCGAGCCGTGTATCCGGGCATCGATGTCTCCCTTCAGGGACGAGACTTCTTTACTGCCACCGCTGCTTCCACCAGGGAAATTCGGTCTCTTCTTTGCATCTACAACCAAAGTGTTGGGGCCTAATTCATCTACTAGTTGGATAGAATTTTTTTAACAATTTTCCCTGCTACATTTGTACCTGTGGACGTCGATGGTCCGGACATGGATGACGAAGTGACGGCAAATTGGGGTTTAATTTCTTTCCTCAGGTATTTTATCTCGATCTCAGGTCGCTCCTTTTGCTCCCCCATGATCTCTATGAATCGACATCGTTACGGATTAAGTAATTCCATGGAGTTAATTGGAAATGTAATGAAACATTGGAGGGCCGCGCCGTATTGCGAGGTGGTGAGAGAATGGCCCCATTAAGATGTTTAGTTTGAAAAATATTAGGTTTACAATTGTTCCCGTCATTTGCGGCGGGGTTAGAAATGTCAGGATTTAAGCAGTTGACTGTCAAGGCTGATGGAAACTTCAAGAGAGGACTCTCTTGCTCCAAATTAAACGACCTAGTACAATATCTTATGCCCGATTTCTTCACCTACGGATAGATGCGAATGGAGATGCAGAGCGTTGGCCATGGCGGTGTTCACGTACGGAATCTACATGCAGCGAATCTGTGTGGTCTTTGTTTTGGAAAGCATAAAGAAGTTTCAAGAAAATACCGGGAGATCTCGCCCAGACAGGTATAATTGGCAACGAGGCAGAAATAACAAGAACGTCACATAAACCTGATAAACGACTCTAAAATGTTTAATTAACTATCCTCCGGATAACAAAGCGAAACAAGGATGTGGAATCTGAATTGAAGGAAAAGAAATTTCACTCTCAAGCCGAGCCACCTTTCTCGTTAATAAATTCTTCCTAAATGTTGTTCCTCGCGTGAAATTGTACTTCAACAGATTTATTTAAGTCCTATTTCAAGGTCTAGCCCTTTGGCTGTCGGGAATGCTTAAGTCGACTTTACATTTTGGATCGTGGTAAAATAAAAAAGAAAAAAAAAAGGCTCCGGGCAACCAAAGGGTCGAAAATGTCCGCTCTTAAAATCGAGCTAGATAAACACTTTTATCATTTTTTGCAGCTTCCCTGGGTCAATTCACCGTCGAACTTCCTTCTCCGGACGATGAGCAATCATGGGGAATTTCTCCTCGACGTCGGCGTTCTCTTCCGACTTCGACTTGACCTTCGTCAACTCTTCGGGTTCTCTTCCAGTCGAGCTTGGATTATTCCACTCTTGCTCGTCCGAGGACCCGAAGAATATATAAATTAGGCAACTCACGATCAGATTAACGGCGGAGATTACGAAGACCAATCGCCACTGCCCGATCGTTTGCTGCAAGAAGAGAACGCGTTAGAAATAATTGGGCCATTAATGATTATGGATAATTACTGAATCTCCATTATTGGTATTATGCTAATCAGCTGACTAACGTTATTGTTGGTTAATAAACCGACGACGAGGGGTGAGATGAAGCCTGCACCGACGGTGACGAGACCGGCGAACCCGAGGAGGACACTCGCATAATTCGGGCTGAGATCCACGAAAATAGCCAAAGTTCCCGCAGAAACGGCTCCGTTGACAGCAGTGCCGGCCATCATGAAGATTATGGCAAGATTGGGATGACAGCCGCTCATTGCCAGAGCCACTGTCAAGATTCCTTGGAGACCCGTGCAGACGAAGGTCGCCAGCTTCCGGACGTTCGTCCGAGACATCCTCTTCGTCCTCAGGAGCCAGTCGCTCAATATGGAGAACGCGTAGGAGAAAGCCATCCTCAGAACATGAGGAAGACCCGACAGGATGCCTGTCTGTAGAGAAATGTATAATTAAGAGAAAATGTATAATTAAGAGAAATGTAAAATAATAAGAGAAATGTAAAATAATAAGAGAAATGTATAATTAAGAGAAATGTATAAGGGTCCAATTGTATCGAGCGGAAGATTATCCGGAATTCACAGCGATAGAGAGGACGATAAAACTCGAAGATTATGCAGAGATTATCGTTGGGTTTATTAATTCATCTACCGAGTTGATGTTCCATCCGTGGACGAAGTTGAAGTACGAGGGAGCCTGGGTCATCAGGGTCAGGAACCCCCAGACTCCTCCCCAGTGGGATGCGATCGTTATCCAGAGTGGTCCGGATGTCAGGATGTCCTTCCAGGGCACTTTACTGTCCTTCTCCCCCAGAGACCCGGAGATCCTCTCCAGGATGTATTTCTTCTCGCTGCTGGAGATGCGCGGATGCTGCTGGGGCGAGTCGAAGGCCAGGAGCGCCCAGAAGCAGTACCTGGCGTATTAATTAATTGACGTCGCTGTAAATATCGTCTTAAAAGAACCTCTAATCATATTTAACAGCAATCTTTCCCACCAGGCTATGCCTACTAACGACGTCACGTAAAATGCGGAGTCCCATCCGAACCAATGCACGCATGCTGCGCACAGAGGATAAGTCACTGCAGCCCCGACTGAGCTACCTGTAATTAGAACCAGGTATGTCGAATATATTTATCCTTACTTCTTGAAGATACGCAGATAATAACTTAGTGGCGATTCCTAATTTCTGCCACGGCGGATGTAAATTACCTTACCAAGGTAGGCGCTGACGAATTTGCTCCTTTCGTCGGGTGGGATCCACTTGGAGGTCATGTCGTGCATCGAGGGCCAAGCGACACCCTGAAGTCGTGGGATTAAAATCACTGACCATCCAGGTAATGTAGAAATAAATGTAGAAACATGTACTCGGACTCACCGCAACGAGGCCCTGAAGAACCCTGATGAAGACGAGGGCGTACAGGTGATATCGAGTAGCGATGGGTATGAGGAGTCCCAGGATGGCCGTGAAGATGTTGGCGAATCCGAATACCAATTTCGTGCCGTATTTGCGAGCTAAAAGTCCCCCGGGAAGCTGAGTGGTCCAGTGGAGCCAGTAATAAGCACCCAGGGCCAAACCCTGCTCGTACTCGTTCCAGGTGAACCGATCCTCGTACTGCCATTAAGGAAACGTTAGGACATTCTGTAATATCACTTTCGTTGAGGCGATTTCTCGTAATAATTGTCGAGGAAGCTTGTCAATTAATTACCGTGTCTTTCGGCAGGATCGGCGCGGGCGGGAGGAGCGAAGTCGTGTTTGAAGTTCCCGAAGAGTTCCTCCCGAATTCGGGTTCACCCTGAAGAGCACACTGCGCCGCTGCCACGGGCTTTTCTCGAGGAACCACCATGCCCACTATCACGAGATTCAAGTTGATCCTTAATATGTAATTCACCGCAAATCCGGAGAACACCAGGTACCAAAGGACGTCCCGACAGGAGATGAAGTCTCTGCCTGGAAATGGGATTTTTAATCTGTCACTGGAGTTCAAGCGTTCAGCGTTCATAGCGATATCCAACAATTGTTCGACTAGACGTCCCGACGAGGGACGTGATGAAGTCGCTCCCTGGAAAAGGGATTTTTTTAATCTGCCCTAATTCCCGTACAATCGTCGAGCGCTTGTTACGGTGTCCTACAATCTGCGAATAATTACCGCCGCTCGCTCGATTACTTCACGACGCGGCTAACTATCAATTAATTCATTGTGAATTGATAAGGCCTAATGATAGGGCATTATTTTCTCCTCGTCGTCCAGCTACACCGGCTGGAAATCGTTACCGAGTTCGGCTTAATTTTCGGCTCTTCTGCCGTTGCGCTCACCTTTGCCCATTATCACGAATTTGGCCCGAAGATTTATTCACACCGCGTTTAAGTTTTTCGGTTCTCCAACATCGAGTGGAGTCGACTCAATCCAAGGGATTTCCTCGGCGGGACATATTTTCTATTGTTTGCTTGCCGACCGAATTTCCGGCCGAGATGCGCGTGATTTTCTCTCTATTTTTCTATCTTAGTCTCTACTTCCTCTTCTTCTTTTTTTTTTCTTTTTTTCTAATATCCGCTAAATCATGGATGTGCGAATGCCGCAACGAACACTGAACGACTGTTCCTCGGTCTGATTAATCGGAGCTTTGAAAGTCAAAACGATCCTCCACCCACACGAGGCACAGGTCCTGATAAAAGCGATCGCATCACAGATGCTCGACGATAGTTACCGATTCAAGTGTTACACGGAAGATAGAAGGGAGATTTCCGTTAAGAACAGATGTTCCCATTTGCCTGAAACTCGATAAACCGCGGCGTATGCGTTCACTCTTCAATTAGTAGATGAGAGGGCGAGCGAGGAAATGCGAAAAAAATTGCCACTTAAGATAAGTAACTGATAAACGCGATTTTCGGGGACTTTGAAAATTCCCTAGACCGACTGTATTCGTTTAATTCCAGAAGAGTATAACGTAGCCCCATCGGGGCGATCTGGTAATGACCCTGAAATTGCGGTCCAATTTGTGTCGATTACCTTCACCTATGCATAGCGCATGTGAAAAATAAAAAGTCGCTAGAGCACTGCAGATGATAACCGCGGTAAATGTTTTTTTTTCTTTTTTTTTAATTCTTTCATCGCGCTCATTTAGCAAATAATCAATTTCATTCCGTCATTCCGGTATACAAAGACTTCCCCGATTTTCTTTTTTTTCTTCTCGAGATCAGATAGTGTCTCTTTGACTGTCATTGATAAGGTGATATTCGACTTGATAAAGGCATCCATCAGCGGTCGGATGATTCAAGTAATTAACGGAGTTCCCTATCTATGACAGATATTTTCCACTGGCGACATGGCAAATTTCCTTACAATTAGATCTTTTATTCGCATTCGGCGGCCGACCTTCACTCGTACAAAGTGCGTTATCTCATTGCAGCTCGTAACGTTGCATTAACGCGTCATTTTCCGATCCTTTCCTACGACAATTGCGCGCCCGATGCGTGGCCTAGTTGCGACAGCTTCGAAAAGGAGTGATAAGATGGAAATGATCTTTCAGAACGGCAAGATAAGGAGAGAAAAGGGAAAATCTGAATTGCATCAATTGCAAGACCCGCAGGGTCGCGAATCGAGTAACGCGCTGCATCGTTATCGCTGCACTTTATTATGCACATAAGTGACGGCGTCTTCGACATTGTGTAAGCGATCGGAGTTACAGTTAAGGGTCTTACGCTTAGAGCAATCGATTCGATTGCCGTACCGACATGTCGCAACGACCTTCCGGCGAAATATTCCAACATTGAATGGAAGTTAATCGCCGTTTAAAGTCGGGCGAGAGAGCTTCGGCGTGGAAGCAACGCCAGTTAAGGTGATGTGAAAGTGGCGTCGAAGAGGTTTTGTTTACAAAACATTTCTCCCGACTCGGTTTACCGAATAGTTTGAAACGTTACAACGTGAATAGGGAGACTATAAGGAAGGTCCTGAAACTTATGAAGTTTCAATTCTTTTCAAATTTGTTTATAGGTATTTTAAAAATAGTTTATAAAAAATGAAATTTCGCGAGTTTCAGGACCTACCTTAAGGTCTCCATATTCACGTTTTAAAGTATGAAACGATTTGAGACACCCAGTTCTTTGAAAAGTTTTATGAACGATTGAGCTTTCGGATGCCACTTTCACATCCCCTTAAGGTGATGTGAAAATGGCGTGAAAGGGGTTTCGTTAACGAGACCTCCCCGATGCCACTTCGGCATCACCTTAATGTGATATTAAAGTGTCATATGTACAAACTAAAAAATCAAAATATTTATAAAACTTTTCTCCAACTAGAGTGCCCTGAATTATTTGAAACTTCATCACGAGATTACGGAGGCCCTAAGGAAGAACGCGATGCTCATGATATTTCATTAAAAAAAAAAAAAAAAAAATGTATATTTATCTCGAACAAGAACCAAAGAAGAAACATTTTTTTTGGGAAAAATGAAATTCCATGAGCATCGCGTTCTTCCTTAGGACCTCCATAATCACGTATTAAAGTTTCAGATAATTCGGTGCACCCAGTTTGAAGAAAAGTTTTATATTTTCACGTATATATCTTTCATATCACCTTAAGTAATTCCTGAAATACTAGCAGCCATTCGCATACCGAGAGTCTCGAAGGCTACGAGATATCCTCGGTAAAAATATAAACGACGCCGTTTAACGCTTCTCTTTTGGTTACCCAGTGCAACGGCACTGATATCGATTAACCAACTATATTGTAATAGCGTCTCGATCGACGCTACTCGCGATAACACCAGATTCTTCAACGAATCGTGGTCGCGAAAAACGGTCAGAATGCGTTGCTGGTTTTTCCTGTTACCGCGGATTTGACCTATCGCCTAGGGAGATTCTTGAATACCCCGCACTCGGCGAGGTAGACAGATGCCCCAACTAAATCTACACCCTTCTTTTTCCGGTGATCTAGTCGCTAACAAGATGGCGTTTCTATGTGATAAGGTGTAGTCTTTAGTTGGAGCGTGCGCTCTTATCGTGCGACACGCTCGTCGAGGACGAAACGACTTGAGTTTTATGTCAGATGTGATAAGTTGATTCATTTTAGGCCTCCCTTTTAAACCCTAACAGGGTTTACAACAACACACGGTGAAGTTCTCGTTATCGACGATGCGGTATTGGTAGTTCTTGTAGGTCGTCAGGTCGAGCTCTCGCATCTGGTTGGTGTGGTCGTAGATCTTCTTCACGACAGGAGGGAAGCTGGGTATATTGGCTGCGGCGGCGATCTCGTCGTAGTAAGCCCACTGCCTCTCCTTCATCTTGTTGATGTGTCTCAGCTGGAGAACATTTCAAAGAGCGGTTGAAAATTCGACCCCGAAGATGTGCCCTTATCAGGGTGTGTAATTTCACGTATTTTGAGGCTTTTGATACGTAAACCGAGGAATTTAAAACAATAGTGAGAAAGAAAAAAATTAACCATAAATTATGAGTACGATTTATGTGAGATATTAATTTATTTATTTATTGTATCGATGACTTACAGGGATCCCCTGCTCCAGAAGAGCTGCCTTTTCTCGCTCCATGTCTTCTCGCATCTCCTTCGAGGAGGGTAATTTTATACGGCCCTCCAGGATCCCCAGGATGTAGTGCGACTGGATGTGGAACATCGGGAACGGGATCACGATCCCGGGCAAGCCCATGAAGAACAGATTCGGCATGTCGGTGTGCAACAGGTGCTTGTAGATCGGCTCCACGTGGTTGTCCTCCGTGCTGAGCTCAACCTTATCCGAGAGGAAAGGATACGTGAACTTGTATCCTGAAAAGTAGATTCCTTGCATGCATTCTTCGGGTAGATCTTCGACATCTCTTGGGTTCAGGACCTCGACGACCTTACCCGTACAGTATATGAAGGCGTCGATCTCCGCCGAGGAGCCGTCCTTGAAGATGAAGGTCTTCCCTCGCACCGACTCCACCCCAGGTCGCTGTTCCACGTTCTTCATCATCTTCGCGTCCACGGGAGTCGGCAAGTTGTGGCTCAAGTATACCTGAAGAAGTAGGAAATATACAATGCCAATGATGTATCGCTGTATATCATACATTATATGTAATGCATACCTTATCCGCGAAATTGGACACCTCGATGGCGATGTCGATGCCGGACCAGGAGGCTCCAAGGATGCAGACCTTCTTCCCGGAGTAGATCTCCGGTATCCGGTACTGATGGCTGTGGATGCAGCTTCCGGGGAAGCTGTCGATCCCCCTGATACGCGGCACGTGCCCCACGGTGTAATGCCCGTTGCAGAGGATGACCACGTCGAAGGTCTTCGTGGTCTTCAGCTTGGCCTCCAGGTCCACGTAGGTGACCATCCACAACACCTGCCCGTTCTTCAGGACCTCGGGCTCCACGTGTTTCACCAGAGTATTGAGCTATACCAGAAACGTTAATTTCTCCACTCGTGACATTACTAACTCTAAATTATATTACAATCTAAATTATATAACAAAATGTCGTGCATCGTGCACAAATCTCACCTTTATATGTGGATACAGGTTAAAGTGCTTGGCGTATCCGAACAAGTACTCGCGGATCACGCTGTGGTGTACGAAGGACGGTCCCTCCAGCTCCTTGAACGGATAATCCGGGATCTGCATCACCTCCTTCGGCAGATTCGTCCTACAAGAACGTCCCCGTTATCGCAAAGCATTGTTACAAAGTATGCGCAAGCGTTAGTGGACTATTATCAGAGGAAAGACGCGCCGGCGTTCGTCATCGACAAGCGGCAGACCTCGCGTTAACTCTATCGTCAGCGAGTTTCGACATTTTTCTCGGAGAGGCTTTAACAACACCCGTGTTGTCTATCTTCCTAGCTATAAGTCCCGACATTGGCGTACTTCGGTCATTGACTCATTCCTTAGTCTCGTATGACTCGGTTATAGCACGTACCGCCGACTCTTATCATAAACCGCAGCGGACGCCTTTTCGAGAATGCCTTATTGGCCAGTCGATATCGACATCGGCCACAGCGACTCGAGATAAATCTTATCGTGGAACGGCCGGTGCGGTTTTCCTCTAGAAAATCTCTCTTATATCCTAAGATCTGCGTGCTCGGAGTACTGCTACTGGTATCGGGATACTTCTTATCAGCACCTGAGGTTCTTGTACATGCTGCTGTGCACCGGAAGCCCGTGTTTATCGGTGTCTGCGCGATCGGTGTACACCCAGGTACCTCCAACTTGGTCGGATTGTTCAAACAGAGTCAGGCTGTACGTTTCCGGTCGGGAAGCAACATGGCGGGCGACCACCAAACCTGCGACTCCTCCACCTACCACGGCGATTCTGGTCTTGCTGCTCGGCATCTTTCCCTGGGTCTTCCGGTAGCCTAAAAGAATTCATTTCTGTATATTACGAGGAAAAAACGGAGAATAAGACAAAACGAGTTCAGACGCAGCAACCCATAAACGGAAACCGAGTCGTTTTGGCCTAACGTCGTATAAATGTGTACAAAACATATAAATGTCCTCAAACAGGTTCAAAGAAAATTGTTTTCGTTTCTTTTTTTTTTTCTATTTTCAACTGTTATTAATCGCAATTATTTACGTGAAACGTAGTAAAATCCCAGATTGTACAGGGAAAGTGGAAAATAATGTGCCGATAATTGTGGCTCAAGTCAGTTTTTTTGGTAGAAATGTCGCATTATTGTCATTTAAATTGAGGCAATGCAAAATGTGGGATGAATTCGTTCTTTCATATTTTTGACTCGAGAATAAAAGACCCTACACTCCGGATATCTTATCCCCTACGGGTCATGTATACGCGACACGAGTGTACAGTTACATAAATCACGATCTATGTGTATAAACCGTGATTTACATAAACTTTCAGCGAGTCGCCACCGCCCCTTGATACCTAGCGGCTAATTGTGCGATAAAATGCAGGAATGTGGAACGGGTTCACGTTACGTCGCATTACGTCTCGTAGCGAGTAAGAATGAATGAAACTACTACGAGACTCGCGATTCGAGATTAACGCTAAACCTGCCGACGATTTATACCCCCATTACAAATACCATTTAAAATGGTCAATTTGACCCGCCGGCGGTAGGTTTAATGTTAAGAACGCGACGAACGACTACCGAAATGGCCAACGGCGTCGTGGGGAACGACGCGCGGCATTACCCAACTGTATCTCCCACCTTAATGTTTATATCACAGGTTTCGGGGTGAAACTCGCAACCCACACTCGTGGGATAATACAAACTGTCGAATGGCGACGTTAAAAGTCGTTAACGAGCATTACTGGAGGCAGAAAAAGCGAGAAAAGAGGCGCGAGGAAAGCGAAGCGTGGGTCCTCGTAAAGTGGAACTTCCAAGATGGCGGCGCGACGCGGCGTCACTCGCAGAAAAACATACCGGCCCCTCTGCTGATTAAAGTCGAGCTGTCCAACTGGAATCTGGGATCGTGTTAATCGAAAGGGGAGCTTCGACACAATTTGCCGGAACGGGAATGAAGACGTTGATTCGAAATTGGGGAATCCAACTGTCTGCACGCGCTGATATGCGTTGGCACGCCTTGATACGCGTTGCTGGCCAGGGGACTTAAGGTCGCGGGAAGCGGAGGTCACGAATCTCGGACTATCTGGGGACAAGTTCCGAACCGACTTGGCCAGCGACTGAGTAAAGACTGTCCACTCGACGGGGACACGCGGTGCATTAACGTGCTCCGTTCCCGCAGTCTCCCCGGCCTGGTTTCGCCCTGCGCGCCCCTCGGTTCCCCGGGAATCTCCGGTCCTTCCGAGAAGTCGTTCGGTCTTCTGATGAAATCGCGGAAACGGTGGAGTCAGAACCGGGGAGGAGATCTCTGTCGTCCGGTGGCTGCGAATCGGAACGATCTTCGGCGAAGGGACGCCTGCCGGAACGAGAAGACGCACCGAAGGCGGAAACCAAAGCGGCCTCAACCGTCACGACAGGAGTCCGAGATTTATGGACATTAATGGCACCCTTTCTTGCCTTTTAAATATCTATTACGCATTTCAATTTCGCTACGAACCTTACAAGACGCCTTCGACGTTCCTGATGGACGCGATCGATAGGAATTACCTGGATTTTCGGGACTGATTTCAATCGGCCGGTATCGATGGAAGTTCAAAATGGCGGCGGCGCCGTCAGGAAGCGTAGATTCCCATCACCAGTATTGTGGGTGTTAGAGCCGCCCTTTCTTCCGTTTCTGATACCTATTATGTAGCACGGGTTGAGAGGGAACTTAAAATACGTATTTGGCAGTCGTAGTGAATGTATTTCATAAGAATTAGACGCATTTTCGGGGCGGATTCGGGGGCACTGGGAAATTCAAGATGGCGGTCACGCCTGGTCGTCTTCCGTTCTTTCGCGCGGTAATTCATGGAAATTACGCGTTTCTTCGGGATTTTCGACTCCGTTTAAACACCGAGGATGTTGGTCCCGATTATTTCTTCACGATTTTGGCAGCAGAGGTCCCGAAAACCCGATATTTTCGCCGTCAGGTTTTCTTAATACGGCGACGCCTCCAGAAATACTCCCTCGGCACCCACGCTGTCTCATCTCGAGTGCCAGTCAGAAATCTGTGCTCTTGACCATCCGCAATCTGCGCTCGCTCTTGCATCACGTTTTTCGCATCGCACCTTCTGTCCAAGAACGCAGTGAAAGTAATCGCCGTGAAAGTATGCGCAACCGATCGGGAGTAGCGCCGGGACGAGGAAACACGGGCCTCCTCGTGATATGTCGTTCCACGTACTTTGCCTTACAAGTCCGATACATTATCACTGAATGCGTACGCATAACATCGACTATACTTGTCAGTTACATTGTATCGGGCTAAATAAAACTATACGAGACCTCGGCGTATGCCCATCGACTACTTATTCGCGAGAAGATGAATAAATCTTCGCACGAGCGTCGAATATTTTTAGCAGTCCCCCTCGAGAGGCGAAACGCTTTCTTAGATTTTATTGTTGTCGCCTGGCGCTTACGTATATCAGTGACATGCGATATTATGGTAGCAATGTTTGTATGGCCGGTGTTATTAAACTCAGCCGAGCCTCTGTGTGCGTCAGATGTGTATAACCAGCCATTAGGGACTGGTTTGAAATTCGTTGTAATCAATGCCGGGGAAAAAATGGTGTTGCGTGGAAATGATAGTTAAAAGTTTCCGCCCAAAAGGTTACGCCATGTCGATGTAATCAAGAACCGTAAGACTTAATTCAGGGTAAACAGTAAACGGAGCAGAGAGACATTTTAAGACGTGCGGATATTTTTCCTTGCTTGGTAAATAAATGATTAAAAGTCGGACGTAGTTTCCACTCACCGGAGGGAAAGAGCATTTAAAAAGCGCCGGGCAAAAGTCTATAGGAAACTTGGAAGGCCAGACCAAGGAGCGAATGACTGTAATTAGGAGGTTGCAAGTCGATGGGCTTCCTTAAATTTAAGACTTACAATTTACATTACTTTCCGGTCGAGTAAGGAGGATAACCTCGTCGGCTCGGAAAAGAAAATCCGAAGGATGTAATTAAGGTATTAACTTCGGCAAAAGATCAGCCTTTGGGAAACATGCAAATATGCATCCACGAGACTTAACTACCGCGTGATATTTCAATCTCGCAATTTCCGCCCAATTACTCAACTTTTGCGGTTGAACCGATTCTTTCTGGGGATACAGGTTTATGAAATTAACCTTTCATCTCGCAGAGACTGTCACGAGTTGTTTTAAATTATTTTTTATGAATTTATCGCGTTCTCGGGGATTAACGAGTTCCGCGTAGACGGCCATCTTGGAAAAGATGCGGAGACGAGCGTTTTACGATTTACATCGTAAGACGTTCTTTCCGGTCGATCGTAAAGCATGACCTCGTTGACTCGGAAAGGAAAACTCAAACGACATAATTAAAGCATAAAATAAGCCATGGTAATTCCGTCTCTGGATGCTCGATAGTATGCAAAAGACTCGCACACTCGGTGCATGGTTCTGAATGGTACTTTTTACTTTTGCGGTTGTTAAAGACATTCCTACACTTTTCCTCGTCATACACTCGGTGGTTATTTAATATTCTAAGGATTATCCATAATTTTATCAAGCATTTTTCCGTAGATCAGTTCCAAATATGTCTTCGACACTGTGCAGGGATAATGGATTCCGCGTAGGTGGCCATCTTGAGATCGAAGAAGAGCGTCTTCTTGGAATGCCTGGCGATTTATCGGTCGGTTTCCTCCGGAATTGCTCCGGGAATAGAACGCATCATTGGCGACCCATCGGAAAGAATCCGAGGTCCACGAGGAGTCCTTTTCATTTTTTGACCTTCACCTTGCAGCCATTCGATTCTTCGCTTCCTTTTCCTACACCCGAAGAGGCGGGATTGCGTCATCGCGGTCCTCAGGGTCATCTTCTTTGCGAAAATCGATCTCGTAACTGGATCTCTCCGGTGAAGTATTTTCTACGAAAATTTAACGATAGCCCACTTGGACTCATCGAGGTCAGGCGATAAGACTTCCTCTGGTTCCTTCAAGAACGCCGTGTCGGCCATCCTGAAGAATGAGAGAACGTGTTACTTTAAGGACATCCAACACTTTTAATGACGTGAGTATTTATAAACTGTTATGAATTCATTATCGGGACATTTTATACATCTCGCAATAATCATTCCTCACTTTTTCGTAGGATCGCGGTAATTCGGCTTCCCGTTGAATAATCTCTAGCGTGTCGCGTTAATTTACATATCACGAAGTGATAGACTTTACGACGTCTGACTCAGTACAGGAATTATTCCCAAAGAAGGATCGAATCGTGTACAATGCGTAAAAATCCTTCTCAATGCCCTCGAGCACCCTTTCTCTGTTTGCATTTTAACGTGTACACATTTAGAAGAGAAAAAAAAAAGGGAAAAAAAAATCCTTGCAATAACACAGGGCGATTTACTTTGACATTTGCGAGCCGGCTGCGAAATAACGCTCGTATAGGAAATACCAGCCGGGATAATTACGAGAAAGGAACAGCTCCTTCCTTTTGGAACACCTTACTCCGATATTTTTCCGCATACAAGGCGAGCGACTTTAAAATACTGCGCGAACAAGACTCGTGTCATTATTCCTCGCGTAAAAAAAGACACCCACGAAATTCAGGCGACCTCCTGTTCTTGCGGATTAAGTAGCCTCTTCTCAGAGAAAGAAAAAAAAAAAAATACAGGAAAAAAGATATGAAAATGGGAGGATAGCGAATGAAAGGATGTACTTCTTTACAACCGTGGGAAGAGCTCAATTCTTGACAAAAGACGTCATTTAGCTCGAATCGTAAAACTCGTTCGGAAGAAAGCCCTCTTCAGTGCACGGCTCATTGATCTGAATGAAAAAAAAAAAACAAAGGGGAAGTAATGACTATCGATTCCAGCTTCTCGGATGGAATGCGAGGAATTCCCTGCGACACTCCCAAACGAGCTCGGTGGTAAAGCTGCCATTTTTGCGACAGCCTTCGCACTCGAGTCTCGAATTTCCACCTGAGCGCTTTTTACAACGACTCTCGAGGCCTTCGTCTTGAATTTTTCTCGTTACCGATTGCGCGCCTTGCGACGTTATTTCATTGTGACGTCTTCACCAGCGTAACATTACCGCATTACGTCTTGTGCAATCGCCAATCCCTTGAATAACTTCTGAACCGATTTCGCAATTGGTTCCAGCTGGTAAAAGAGAAAGAATGAAAAAAAAAAGGGAAAAAATAGCTCGAACATAATAGGATAAAAAGTTTCACAGTTTCAACGTAAAAGTGAGGATTCTTCATCCCGACTAAATATGTGATTGATTAAACAAGTATTTACTTTAATCGGCCGCGAAATGAGGGACCAAGGAAATATGAAATATTTGACATTGCGTATCTCTGTATCAAATGTACCAATCGGTTAGCACTCGTGGCTTAAAAAACGCGAGAAATCGTCCAATCTCGGTGACCTGGTTAAAGTTGACATTACTCATTCAAGAGGTACATTCTTCGTCTAGTTTGTCGCGCCAGAATAAATATCGCAGATAATGACTAGGTCAGAGTTTTGCGCCTCTATTTCCATATATTTGGTGCGAAACTCTACAGAGTTTTTTAATCAGGTGCTCCCTGGGAAAATCTTGAATTATAGAGTAGCTCACTTTTTGTGGCGGGTTGTCGGCTTCTGAAAAGAATAATTTCCCTTTATTAATTAATGTGGACACGTTTTCGTCCCCTCGCGCTACTTCTTAATATCCGCGGGCAGTTTAAGAAATCTTTGTTTACGCGCACTTTGAGACATCGTGTATAATTATTATCGCGCCGAGACGACGGATGTGCCGGCACGTCCCACGAAATTCTGGGTCGAGCACCGCGGTGTCATTTTCGTCCCGAAAGAACGATTAATCGGTCCCTTATCGGCCTCGCCGGATTTTTCGAGCTGTCGAAACGAGTAGCCGAGTTTTCGGTCCCGAATATGCGACTCCTTTAGTTCCTCCTAGAGTTCCTGTAGATCGATTAAAATCTTGCATATATATTGCACAAAAATTTGTACAAAGAAAGGGTTAAGAGAAAGGCTCCTTCGGCCCTTATTACATAGTTTTCTTCCTGCACTATTTCCCTATAATTTAGCGTTGGCACTTAACCTCCACCTAGAATAAAAGAAAAAAGGAACGTTTAAATGTCGCGAGATTCGTAATTGGAGCGACCCGAAAAAGAATTACACGAAAGCCGAATACATGTGCACTTATGTGGACGTAAAAGATCTCTTATCCCACGTGACGTAGTGAGCGAGATAACGCCGCTCGTGTGTGAACGATCGGTGATTAATGTTGTTTAATATATTTAGCAACTTTGCACTCACGCAGGAGAACGCAGACTCGGGATTTTCGACCAATCTCTCAAGGTTCGAAAAGAAAAAAAGAGAATAGAAAATGATACCGTTAAACTATCCGAAAATCAGAACTTTATTAACGCGCCTTTTTTTTATCGCAGGCGATACTTTTTATCGACCGTCGAGATATCGAAACTCGCGCGCGCTCGTGGCGTCATCTTGCGACGGAGGTGCAAAGCCCGTGCAGGTTTCCCTGAGAATGGAGTCTTACGGCCCGGTTCCACATTTTCGAGTTAACCGGAGTTTAATTCGTTTATAGGAGGTTTAAATTAAGTGTAAACCAGTTTAATTTCAGTTAACTCGAATTATGGAACCGGGCCCTAATCCACGCAATATAGCAGCGCCACAAGTAGGGAACTACTCTACCGACCCGAAGTTCCACAAAAGTTCCACCGAATATTACCGTCCCACGGAAGTGCAGAATTATCCCCGAAACTCTGCGATTCGCGATAAAAAAAAGTCGCTTCCTCGTGGGTATACGTTTCAAATCTCTCGAGATTGTCCTTTAAACTCGTTTATCGCCCCTCCTGAGAGAAGAAATCCCGGGTTAGAAGCGAAATTCGGGAAAGAGCGAGGTGAAATTCTCGAGCCACTCGTCGGGGCCGCATCAGCCGAAGCGCGGGCTCGCGATCCCGTGCGAGAGCACGGAGGAAGATTTGAAAGTACCGCCGCTCTTTCTCGGGGCGAAAAGAAGGTGGTTTTTCGGTGAGATACGGCGGGTATCTCGCCCAGGGAATGTCTTGGCCAAGGAGGCCAGGGCAGCGGCTCGCCTAGCCGAGGGCTGGGCGCGAGGCTCGCGTCCGTTTTCCCGGGCCCGAGTTTCGTGCTTGCCGTAAATTACGAAAAAGAGTGTCAAGTCGGTGGAGGAATGTGGCACTTCAAGATGGCCGCCAGTTACTTTAGTAATTTACGGCTGTATCTTTCTTTGTTGTCGCTGGCGTAATTGCGGCCAGGGATCGCGGAGCGGAGGACCTCGGCTGCTCGGGAAGTGGTGGAGCGGACCTACGACGGGCACCTTCCCGGCGGGCCTGCGACCTCGAGGAAACACCAGGAGGGAATATGCGACCGAGGCGGACCGAGGCATCGCGACGGCCTTAAAAGAGATTATTCCGAGATATCCCGCCGTAGGCTCGACGCTGTCCTGTTATCGAGGTGATATCGGGCCACGGCCAGGTCCCCGACTTAACCTCGACGCGACCCCCTGGAGGCCGAGCCCGGGTCGCTCCGAGTCGCATCTATGTACGGCCGAGGGGATGCTCGTCGAACCTTTTTGGAGAACCGAGCCTTCCAGCTTTTTTATTTCCTCCGAGAAGCCAGCGAGCTGCGCGGCTCTGCCATCCTCTGAAGGAGCCTCCGGGTCGAGACACAGAGCCTGTCGTCCAGGGTTCCGCTATGGGATGGTTCCTAGACATGGTTCTCCCTGAAGACAGTGCCTTTTAAATCAAGGGTACCTCGGCTACCGTGGTCCGTGACGATGCTCCTACCTCGAGTCGTAGACCCTGTGTAACCTGAAAGTTGTGCCTTAGAGTTTGGTCCTAGGTCGTGCCCTGGCGAGAGGTACCGGAGATTTCGTATCCATGCACGGCCTAGTTACGAAAGAACATCTCCGGTCTGACCCTGGAGATCGTATAGGATGCTCGGTATTGTTTTCGATTAAAAAGATCGAGTGTTCGATCTGGAGTGCCTTGTTAATATGGTATAGTCTTATGGCCGAGTTCTATAAGTCAGGATAGTGCCTTTTTTGTAGAGGTTCGCCGTGGTGTTTTTTGAATGCGAGCGAACCATTGACTCGACCAAGCATACGTATCAAAGAAGAAAATGCTATAACCCGGAAGATTAACATGTTATTCTTGGATTCTATGTCAGCGTGCCGATAGGATTATCGACGATAGCTAGAGTTCAGCCATGATGTTGCACGGTCCTCGTCCATTGGCACAGTAGCATCCAGTCGTGAATGTATTGTAAGTGTATTTCAACTCGGTAAAATTTTGCATCGTTCGCATGCACTTTCATATTATTGTAGATTACAAAAGAATCCTTACATTAGGACCATTCGTATATTAAAAATAAATCGACATCTCAAGTCGACTTCGTGCTCAATTTATGTCGATCAATATTTTCTAATCGGAACATATACTTCATGACTCCTGCTTGCTTGCGTTGCAGCTGGATTGAGCTAGGTCCTAAGAGGCCTAGCATGGGCCACTATGAATCCGCCTGCGGTCAGTAAGTCGAGCACTCGTGGCTCCGGATACCACCAAAAGGCACTAGCTGAAATCCGCAACTCCTTGCTTCCATTTGCTAACATCGGAGGAACCGGAGAGGTAGGTTCCAGTGCTGCGAGTACCATCTCCACTCTTTCTACGACTAGTGGAGTGAGTTCCGCATCAGGACTAAGTGGCTTGTCGGGAGCCTCCGGATCCACAGCGGACAAGCCAGACCAGCGTCAAGCCCTAGCCCAATTATTAGCAATGGGTTACTCCGAGGTAACGTTTCATTTCAAATGATCTCAGAAAGCCAAAGTACCAAACGTACTAACCGAGATATTCGATCGTAACAGGAAATAGGGTTGCGTGCTCTGAAGCTAGCAGGATGGCGTCTGGACGCAGCGATCGAGTTTCTAAAGCAAGCCCAGGGCGAATCTCTGAACGGCCTAGGGAAGCTGAACACCAAGCTGATAAGGAAACCAAGTTTGGAAAGGGAGTTAAGTCTCCAACGAGGGAGTCCAGCCCTGGACAGCGGAGCAGGCAGTTCCAGGTCGGACAGTCCTCGCCTGACCGAGCTCAGTCCGCACCCCCAGCTGAGTAGGCAATACTCCCCGAGTAGTTTCGTCGAACGCGAGCCTCCTCCGCCACCTCCCCCGAGATGCAGCTCCACCCCGCCACCGCCACCACCACCTCATGCCCCCTACGGTCAATCGAACGTGCCAAGCAACATGCAACAGATGCTGAAGAGAATGTCCCCAGCCCCCGTGGTCCCAACCAGGCCTCCACCAGCGGCACCCGGGAGTTCCGGGTCCACGTCGAACTCCGTGAATCCTCCTCAAAGAGGCACCAGTCCCGTAGCGACGTCCAGTGGTAGCTCGAACGGTCGCCAACCCATGATCGTTCAAAACGGTCCTCAGGTACGGTAGGATGAGATGCATGGGTACGATGTAATATACCAGAGTTCTAAAAAGGAAATCCATCGACATCGACAGGTGCAACAACAGCTCAGCCAGCAGATGCAGGCGCTCAGCATCTACCAGTCGAGCGGCAACGCGGTGGGTGGGAGCAGCCAGGTGGAGCCGCCCCCACCGTACCCCATCGTGCCCTCGCCCTCGTCAGGGCCGGTGCAACCGCCCTCGTACAGCGCCTCGATGCAGAACCGGCAGAGTCCGACCCAGTCCCAGCAGGACTACAGGAAGAGCCCGTCCTCGGGGATCTACTCGGGCCCCACGTCAGCGGGCTCGCCGAGTCCCATTACGGTGTCGACTGTCTCCCCCAGCACCCAGGGCTCCATGGCGCGACCCACCCCCCTGCAGGCCTGGGGCGCGCGCCAGGCGAAGACGCAGCCGCCGATCATCATGCAATCGGTGAAGAGTACCCAAGTACAAAAGCCAGTCCTGCAGACGGCGATCGCGCCGACCTCGCCGCAGCCGATCTCGACGACCAGCAACACGCCCCCACCGCCGCCGTCGTACGCGTCCTCGATCCAGCAGAAGCAGCAGCAACAGCAGCAGCAACAGCCCCCTCCGGCGTACCCACCGGGGAACTCTCAGGGTGGCGTTGCGCCGTCCAACTCGGGGTCTCTCGGCGTTCCGGTCGGCGTGCCCACGACGGAGCCCCCCAGCTATGCCACCACCATGCAGGCCCTGGCTGCTCAACGCGGGATCCATCATCCTCTTCCTCCACCACCCTATGGCACCCCTACCGAGGATACCACCGGGATATCGACCGTGGAGAGCGGCACCGCTCCTAGGTCCTCGCCCGTTGCGCATCACCCCCCTCTGCAGAGGAAGTACTCCCCTGCGGAGGGGTGTCCGCACCCCGCGGAACCGAGCCCTATGCCCTCGTCTGTTCCCACCCCCAGGAACAATATCCATCCGTCTCTTCCGGATTCCGGCTCCGCCAAGGCGCAGGCGCCCTCGCCCTCACAGTACAAGATAAAGCACCAGTCGCCCATCCCCGAGAGGAAGCACATGAGCAAGGAGAAGGAGGAGGAGCGCAGGGACTGCAAGGTCCGGAACTACTCGCCGCAGGCCTTCAAGTTCTTCATGGAACAGCACGTGGAGAACGTCCTTAAGTCCCACAAACAGCGATTATATCGTCGGCTTCAGCTAGAGACGGAGATGGCCAAGATCGGACTCAGCGCCGAAGCCCAGTGCCAGATGAGGAAGATGCTCTCCCAGAAGGAGTCCAACTATATCAGGCTCAAACGCGCCAAAATGGACAAGTCCATGTTCACCAAGATCAAGCCCATCGGCGTAGGTGCCTTCGGGGAAGTCACGCTTGTTAGGAAACTGGATACGAATCAGTTCTACGCCATGAAGACCCTCCGCAAGGCCGACGTGCTGAACAGGAACCAGGTCGCCCACGTCAAGGCCGAGAGGGACATCCTCGCCGAGGCCGACAACGAGTGGGTCGTCAAGCTCTACTACTCCTTTCAGGACAAGGACAATTTGTACTTCGTCATGGACTATATACCCGGGGGAGACCTCATGTCGCTGCTGATTAAATTCGGCATCTTCAAGGAACCTCTTGCCAGGTTTTACATCGCCGAGCTCACCTGCGCCGTCGAGAGCGTGCACAAGATGGGATTCATTCATAGAGACATCAAGCCGGATAATATCCTCATCGACCGGGATGGACACATCAAGCTCACGGATTTCGGCCTGTGCACGGGATTTCGCTGGACCCATAACTCCAAGTATTATCAACAAAATGGTAATAACCTGTCTTAGTACTAGCACGAGGTTAAAATATTACATGGATCATATTTTTAAGATGCGTCTAATATTACATACTTATTACATATTTATTTCTTATTTCTTTTTACATATTTATTACTAATAATCGGGGGAAAAAAATTACTCTTCTAAACGTTTTGCACCTTCATGGTCCTTTCATAATATATATTTTTTTTATCCATTTTCTTTATTCTACTTATTCAGATTCGTCCTTTAATCGATTTCATTCGCCCTTAGGACACAATAAGCAGGATTCGATGGACCCAGCCGACGACTGGAACAACGAGTGCCGGTGCATCCAGCTGAAACCCTTGGAACGAAGACGACATCGAGAGCATCAGCGATGTTTAGCCCACTCTCTCGTAGGGACGCCGAATTACATCGCGCCGGAAGTCTTGCAGCGAACAGGATACACGCAGTTATGTGACTGGTGGAGCGTCGGGGTAATCCTGTACGAGATGCTCGTCGGCTCGCCTCCCTTTCTCGCCAACACTCCGGCCGAAACGCAGTACAAGGTGTATATTCGCGATTTTTCATATTTCATATAAGGTTAACTAGCGTTTATATCTACAATATAATCAATATGTGTAAAGAAAAAAAATCAGAAATTGTACCGGTATGCTGAACTGCTATACTTTAATTTTTGATTTTACATATTGTAACATTTAATAACTCATCTAACCGCATAACGTCGACAGGTCATCAACTGGGAGACGACTCTGCACATCCCGAAGGAGGCGAACCTGTCTCCGGAAGGGATGGACCTGATCCTGAAGCTGTGCGTGGGCGCGGAGCGCCGCCTCGGGAAGAACGCCGACGAGGTGAAGAGCCACCCCTTCTTCTCGAGCATCGACTTCGAGAAGGGTCTCCGTCGGCAGGTGGCCCCCCACATACCTCGGATCCAGTACCCGACGGACACGAGCAACTTCGACCCCGTGGACCCGGACAAGCTGCGGAACTCCGAGTCCTCGGACTCAAACAAGTCGGACGAGCTCCTGGACAACGGGAAGCCCTTCCACGGGTTCTTCGAGTTCACGTTCCGGCGCTTCTTCGACGACGGAGGCGGCCCGGCGTATCCTAGTCGCATAAGTCTGGACGATAACGACAACCAGGGCCCGGTCTACGTATGACATTAGGTGTCGTCGAGGAGGCGCGAGGAGGCGGCGCCTCGAGGACGCTCGTCTCTCGTCCTCGGGCTCGCTCTTCAGGGTGTACCCACCGCTCGCGCTGCTCTCTCGAGTCGGAAATCCGCAATTCTGGGCGCGTGATCGCTACTTCCGCTCTCGCCTAAACATATGAACGCATCCGGCAGTCTCCGAGGGCTGATGCCTAATTTCCATACACGCGGAATCGACGCGGAGCGCGGAATGGCCCTGAGACGGCTTAACCATTCAGCCTAATGGCTTAACCCTAACGTGCCTACCGCCCTCCGCGTCGATTCCTCGTGCTTTCCGCGTATATGGAAATGAGGCATAACCCGTGCCGAGGTCGAACTGCAAATTATACATAGAGATGTTAAAAATGAATTGTATAAACGACTCCCGCCCCCGCGGTCGGACGCCGGGAAGTACGTCGCGTTGTACCTTGAAATGTCCTCGGCGCTCCCTTGAGGTTCTCGTTTCGCGTTCTCCGTGATTTCGGGGGAGCGGGTCGAACCCGACGAATTCTAAATTCACCGTGAAAGGAAACGGGGAGTACACTAACAATGAGAATCGACCTAGGGGAAGCCTTTCACGCGTATCGGCCTTCGCGTCCGGAAAGTACACGTTTAGGTACGTTTCAGCAAGTACTGTGATATTGCAGATAATTAGCGTAATGTGGCTTGTAACTGTATTGGTCCTATTTAACAGTTTCTTTTATATCAAACGACACGTTTATTATATATATATATTAATATTATTGTATTAATATTATTATATATTTGTATAGAACTCTTGAATGGATGTAATGTGTTCATTGCATATTATGCAGCTTCGTGTCTAAACGTTTATGTTGCTCGTGGCCACCTTCGGAAAGGGCGGTGCGGCTCGGTGGATTTCCGATCGCGATAGGAATCGAAACAAAAGGCGGAAGGAGCGATTTAGCGAGAGAACCTCACAGCGTTTCTAAGAGCTCGAGGAGAGATCCCTCGGTGGAATTGTGCCTTTTCCTCGGGTAGTTAGCCGTTAAGTAAGTTATTCGGTAGGTGGGAGACTCGGGGTCGTCGGAGGTCCGTTTAGAACGTGCCTTAGGCGAGCTAAGCCCGGTGCAACGTACTAGAAACGCCGAATCCGCACCTCTTGGGGATGGACAAGCGCGTGCCGAGGGCCGCCATCTTGGATCGCCGTGCGAGAACATTCGTTTACACTTCTTGAGCGCAATAATTATATTGCGAGCCTCCCTTGACAAGTTATGGAACGCTACTTACAAGAGCGGGGAGAAATTTACACGCAGTACGTGCTATGTATTGTTTTGCGATGCCTGACGCGATTTAAAAGTGAAACTTCAAGAGGCTTCACTCGGCTCGCTTCGGCCTTGATGGCTGAGACGCTTTGAAGAGTCGAAGAAAAAGAGGAAGAGGGACATTTATGCGATCTCTTCGGGAGGGGGAAATTTCATCGGATATCTTGGCTGTCATTAATCAAGGGGAAAACGCGCAGGCATCGGTTTGATAAACGTTTGAGATGGGAAACTCGATCGGCCGGTAGGGACGCGCTCGACGTCCCCGTAAAAAGCGCGGAAACGCGCCAGCCTTTTTCGCCTTATCATTGTTGCGATAACAGTGGACGGCCATACGATGCAGATCTGTTTAATATACCTGCGCGCCGTTTATATATAAGTGAATTCGATCCACCTGTACATTTTGTAATATCTTCGGAGCCCTCTGTAATTATACTCAGCGAGTAAGAAGTGTAAGCTAGTTTTCTAAGTCGGTATATATTATGTGAAACTTGTGTACATATTTTGGACGAGTGTTCTAAATTAAAACTACGTTTAATGCCGAGAGGGGCCCTCGTTTCTTGCTGCTAGTGGTCGGCACGTTTTACCTTGGATTCTTTTCGGATTAACGGCAAGAAATTTCTACTTTGAGACTATTGCGGGTATTTTACGGTTTTGAAAAAGTGCGCCAAGCGCATTCTGGGAACGTGTTGGGTAGAATAGTTATGAAAATTGACATAATGAATAATAGTCGATCGTTAATATTTGCTGGGAATGAATAATTGAATGTCGCTCTTCACCACGCGTTGACCTTTTTTTTTTTTAACAAAAATTGATGGCATTGGCGCGAACTTTTGAAAAGGGTTATAGACGAGCGACTAATAGGAATGCGAATCAAAGGCGCGTACTTGCAGCAGAGATGAGTTGGGAGATTGCTCACGGGCAGGGTCGTGCGATCGCATCCTGTGCTGCCCTCTGGTTTCGTACGT